TGGCCATGGGAACAGCGGCACGAAAACCAGCAGCACGGGATATACAACACGCGGAATGAGATATCAGGATATGTGTATAAAGGCGACGATGTACATAGCGACTACCATTACGGCGGCTTACCCGGCCGCCCCGCAGGACCTGCCGCCACTCGGCCTATAGGGCTGACAGATGCGTGTATGAATAATAATAATAATAATAATAATAATAATAATCCTGAAAACTGCTATTTATATTAATTTGCATATAGTATTTTTCTATCACTTATGAGACCGTAGATGCATGGGGGGAGAAAACCGACAAGGTTGATGAGTATGTTGGAGCAGAAAGGTCCTAGGGACTTAAAATATGCTATGGCTGACAATCTCAGGATAATTGAAGAATTAACTGGAACCTTGGAGTACCCTCGAACCAAGGTGTTACCTCAAATTATATTTTACGTTAGGTATGGCCCCTCCAACAATACTATTGTTTCTATATATCTTATGAATAGACTGGTCCTAATTTTCTGACTCAATTCTAGACTCGATGAAGACGGTATTAAACGATTGAGGGACCTTGGCGAAGTAATTGTCCAAGAGATGGAAAATAATGATGATGATTAATTGGCTATATGCCGCTGTCAACTACAATAGCTTGGAAGGATATCTTAGGCACTATTCGGAGTGAATGGAGAAAGAACTCTGATTGAGAAAACTATCAAGCATAAGGGCCTATTTATTGGCCATCAAATAGCTACTAAAGGAAATCGTGAAAGATGTCCAAAAAGACAAAATGAATGCCAAAAAAAAAAAAAAAAAAAAAAAAAGCAGTATGTGCTGTCCATTGTGAAGGGACGCTGGCTTCATAGCTGTAGACCCCCAATCCTATCATCTGTCATATCTTTACGTACCTATTTTCAGACAGCAATAAGACGTATGTTATATCAAACAATTTCGGTTATAGACGGAAGTCAGCAGCTGCCTATGGGTGTGTAAAATACAATAGCAAAAAATTGTGGTGCCCAAGATTACTCAAACCACATGCCCTTGTCAACTGGAATGACAACTGCCAATTTGATTGATTAAGTTTTCTCCATGGTAATTTCATTGCCAGTTATATATGTCAAGCTGCACAAGCTACAGGTTTTCTTCTACGTCTCCACAGCTATCATACCCATATTTGAGATTTCGTGATTATCTGGACTCTAGCAATAATGGGCAAGCAAGGCTTTAGCGATACCATGTCTGACAAGAATGATGGTTACTCCGGGTGGAATATTGCCTTCGGAATCATGAGCACCATTGGGAGTATCACAGCTGGTATTCTGAATCAGAATGACTACGCCCAGTTTGTGAAACAGCCTCATGATGTTATCCTTGGGCAGCTGATTAGTTGTCCACTGTATGCTATCGCGTGCAATGTCACTGGGATATTGGTCACAGTGACTACGCAAGAGCAGTAGGGTGAGGCGTTGTGGAATCTGCCTGATCTATTGAGTGCAGTGATTACACATGGAGAATCCTGTTCTTGTGCAGCGGCATTCTTTAGCAGTGCTGCATTGGCTATTTCGCAGATTGGGGTTAATGTTCCTGGGAATGCGCTGTCGGGGGGTACATATCTCCTACCACTGGCAGGTAGGCAGTTCTGATGATGACTAGGATTCGACCTCGCCGCTACATTCCCAAAATTTGTCAACCTCCGACACAGTGCATATCTAACGGCATCAATACCTGTTGTTTGTAATCTGTGGAAACTAGTTAACACAGTGACAACCTTCCTTGTCCGCGCTGAGCAGTTACTCTGTATTTCTGGGTCCAATGATTAGAATCATGATCGCATCATATCTCGTCATTCATCGGAGTTGTCACGGGCTCGGAAACTAGCAGATAAAACGAATAATATATATATCTAGACTAGGTAGCATAACGACGAGAATATCGAATCTGGGGAAGAAGAAGAAAAGAAAATCTATCTAGGCGACGAACGGTCTTTATAGGCATTTGTGTGGTGCGGCTCAAGCCCTTGTTTGCCCATATTGCTTGTATGGCATCGTTTGATATGTTGGCGCTGTTTGTCTGGCGTTGAGCCGTTGAGCCGTCACAGGAGTAGGATCAAAATGGAGGATCTATTTCCTTCTCAAAATCCGAGGGATAGCAATAAAGTCAGCTACAACAAGAATAAGAGGTCTACTACTACTACTACTAATATAAACAGCCCTGTACATCCTTATACAGCTCTAGTTCCCCGGGGGCCCATGAGGGCCCCGAAATCTCCTGATCTCCCTCGCATCCATTCCCATACGCAAGCACCCGCGTATTCCATCTAAGCATCGTGGGTTGTACTAACCCGGTATGAGGCCGGCAGGGTTCCAAATTGACCGAGGAGCAAGACCGGTAGTAGTAGTAGTAGTAGTATTCATACCCTTTCAGCGTGCCATCTCTACTGGCCGCTATGCCGGGGGTTTATCCGGTCCCTATCCTAAGATGACTAGAGCTACGGTATACGTACGTACGCGACGTCGGGCCTGGGCTTGGAAGCGCATTGTGAGATGTATCTCTTTAGGGAGAAGAGTTTTATGGGATATTAAGATTATATTAGAATCAATGAAAGGCTTTATTGATGCTTGAAATAATTCATTCTGAGCTGGAAGATTGCTCTGCTTTATAGCTTCGTCATGGTTTTATAATAAGAGCACTTTTCCAAAACGCCTCACTATCTTGATCACGAAGGATTCAATCACATGGCCCCATGGGAACAGTCATTGCCTAAATGGCAGATCCAGGCAGAGAACAGGCTGATCTTGACATGCTCATACTGAGTATTACAGGTGAAAGGATACTAGAGTGGGAAGATGAATAACACGCCCCTGCAGCAACAGACAGGCAGAGATTCCTTTTCTAATTTGCTATCGAATGGAACTCTATCAAAAACTGACGATCCGTTGGAAGGGACTTCGAAGGATGAATATGAAGTCAGAAGGCTGGGATTAAAACTGGTTAAAGAGAGGTTTGTTATGCTGTTGGGGCTCTTAGGGACTCAGGGTTTGCTTACGGGCGGACGATCTACCGCTACATGCAGCGGCACAGCCCCACCAAAGTAAGGCTGAATCATCCCGCCAAGACTGATATTGCTCCAACTCTCTCTTGACCAGAGAGCAACGAATTCTTCTTTAATCCTCCGGAATCCAACCAGACACTATCATCCCCCGATAATCAGTTATCTTCAGCAATACTTTGATCCCCGGCAGATAGAGAGCCTCATCGCCATGCCAACCCTTGTGATGAACCCGGAATACTCAGTGGAGTTCGAGGACAAGCCACTCCCTTTGAGATTGTATGACGAATTCGACGAGGAAGAGGAGCTCTGGATCAAACCCAGACTGGAGGCTTTAGTGAAAGGGGATCTGACCCCTAGCCAGGCGGCCGTCGAGTTTGATACTATGCTCACAGAGGACACAAACCGAAAACACGACAAACTGATGAAACGGACAGACCCGCGCAACCTCACACCGGAAGAAGAAGGACAGGGCGCCAACATGTACACAATTATGCCGCATCCAAGGATCTATATTGGACCGATGTTTTCATCAATTTCCCGGCTGTGCTCGGCATTTCCGCCCTATCACGAAGGACAAACGCGTATTGTTGAATTCCTTCTGGCACTACGATCACTTCCACGCCATGAAATCTTCAAAGACCTGCCCCCGGAAGACCCTAACGAGCCATATCCCACCTTGACACTGTGGCCATTTGAAGAACGAAGCTGGGAAGGTTTTCCAAATCATTTTCATTATGAGATAACAGGTACCTTTCCCTAGCCAAACTTATAATCACTGACCGATCTGACATGAACCTTCTCAGAATGCTACCCACCCTTTCGCTGGCGCAACTTCAACTCCGCCATGGCCCGCCTGGCAAGCTCAAACCTGTGTGACTGCGATTTTCTGAGCTCCCTTGATGATATCCTGCCGTCAAGCAGTGAATATCCTGATTTGAAGAAGCGTCCAATTGATGGACCGAACAAGATTGGAAACTATCTTGTTGGAGCTGCCCAGTGGATTATGTGGCCGGATGAAGGTCGTTATGTCTATCAGCAATGCAAGAAGGTTGAGAGTGTATCCGAGCCCCGCGAAATGTGGAGTATGGAGTGTTGGAGGGAATGGAAGAATCAGTTTGCTTTTGTCGCGGGTGATGACCGGTTTGCTGAGAGGTACAGGGAGGTGGCTGAGCAATCATATCGCCAGATGCTTGTTTATGAGAGTGAAGACACGGCTTAAGGAGAACGAGTTGGTTTGTAAACCAGGTTACAGAACCAGTACTTTACTTTCTATTATGTACATTTGAGTCCTTCTCAATTGTACTGGGTCTTTTATCGGACTTTAGGAACACCTTTTTGGGAGTTTAGAAAGAGAGGCGTGCATGGAAAGCATCAGGTAAATTTTCTCTCGTCACTGGATAACAATTGATCAAATTGTAGCTGAAAACTTGACATGTAATTGATGCTATGCCAACATGATGGATCTTCGAAGACTCATCATACAGCAACAGGCTTAACGGGTCGATACCTCTCACCCGTTTGCGGGTTTTGGCTAGGTCTAAATGGGAGGGAGGGGGATTCGATGTCGACTCTCGGAATAACTTCAAAGAAAATACAGATCAGGGCAGAACCAGAGATTGACCAGAGAATAAAGAGGTACTTATAAATTATTAGAAAGAAATCGCCATTGGTTATGCCCCTCTACTCGCTCACACTCACCTACAGTTATCAATATAGCATCCCAAAAGCAGCATCAAATTCAGAGCAAAATTGAGGATCGGTACGCTATCTGTGGTATGATTTTGACCAATAGTCCATTGGATACCTCCTGGGTGAGTTGGGGGGTGATGCTACTTTTTGGTCGCATGACCAGGGGTAAGCCTGAGTAAGTTCACTATAGAGAAGGCGAACAGTCACCCAAAAATTGCGCTGCGCCGATACAAAGGAGAGTTGTACAAAAGGAATTCAATGCGGTGGTAGTTGATAGGGCCCAGGCCCGCGTGTGTGTGCGGCCTCGGCCCTGTCATTGTAGGGGGAAAAGGAGAGGTTGTGGGCTCGGCTGGGTGGGCCATGGAAGGAGCTGTGCTGGGAAGTCGTGCTCTTCAGCTCTAGGGTCTGTAAACTGCACTGTTTTCACTCAGTTCTCGTCTTGGCTGGACTCATCTGTTGACAGTTCGTCCTGCTGTATCTGGGCGTCCTGGACTGCTTTAAACTGCCCTAGTAGTCCTGTGCGGAGCATGAAGTCGGCCACCAGAGGTGTGGCAGCGGGGTTTGAGATCATTGCTTTGTAGTCAGATCCCACTTCCGGCGCAAAGTATCGCAACTTGGAGAAGAGCCGTCAATGGTGGCGGAACCGGGGGCAGTGGAGGATGACGTATTTGGGGGTTTGGACCCCTTCATTGCAGGTGTAGCGTGGGGATTCGGCTACGCCGATGCGGTGGAGGAAATAGTTGAGGCCAACCCGCTGCTTTCGTAGTTGGATGAGAATGCTACTCCATGCCTTCCTCATTCCCCGAAAGGGGAGGAGACTCTTCATGTATGGCAGGAGGACTAGGCGTCTTGTGGGTGCTCCTGGAGCGGACGGGGGGGTCACGCTCCAGGCCCGTTCCCAGGCTAGTTGCGCGGTGCGCCGGGCTTCTGCACATAAGCATGCCGCCAGCACTGTGGGCTGGGGGCGTGGTGTGCCGTTCATGGCTGCGGCTTTAGCTTCATGGTCGACCCGTTCATTGCCCGGGATCCCTGTGTGTGCTGGGATCCAGTGGAAGGAAACCTTGGCACCCTCTTCCCAGAGCAGGTTCAGGAGGTCATAGATTTCCCTGACAATTTATTGACCGGAGGGTCGCTTGGGTGAATGGACAGCTCTGATGGCCGTTTGGTTGTCTGTCATGATGGCTGCACTATCTGCGTGGCCTGATGCGCGTTCAAGGATGGATGCAAGGGCCAGGACCATGCCCTTCAGCTCCGCCGCGTAGACTGTGGATTCCAAGGTTGAGCCTAAGGCCGCGTGGTAGACTGTACCGGTCTCTGGGATCTATGTAGCTGCCCCAATGTATCCGTCTATGCCACTACCGTCTGTGTACGCGAGCTAGGCGGTGGGGAACTTGGCCACATGGTGGTGGAGTGCGGTGGCCTCGTCAGCGCCCCTCGCGATGTGGGTGTCCGGTTGGGTGTGCCATGGGGGGCGGATGTATGGTTTACGCCTCTCCCAGTTGGGATTGGGTGTCAGTGGCGTCCCTTGGCGCCAGCGGGCGTGGGCTTCTAGGGGTGTGCAGCCGCTTCGGACCTTCTCCTCAGTGGTGCGTAGGACTGGGTCGTAACCAGGGCAGTTCTAATCAGTTTGTTGACCGTTGCTCTGAAGGACAGGGTTGCTGTTGGAGCTATGGTCGGTATGGCAGACGCGAAAATTACCAGTTGCCTCTCTCGAAGGCACGTCGGACGTATACCGCATGGTCATACTGGAGATAAAAAGGGGCCTGTGAGCACAACCCGGGGTTTCTTGCACCGTTTTATGTTGTGGATATAATCAGACATGTCGTTGAGGGCGTGGAGCAGGCAGCACAGATGCACTTCGAAAGCCGCTTCGGGGTGATCTAAGACGGCGGGCCGGAGGTAGAAGTTGTTCTACCTCAACCCGTGTTCCTCTGGAGAAAAACTCGTAGAAGATACCTTCCACTCCCTGTAAAATACTCAGTTCCCGCTCATTATCAAGTTGAGGGATACTCGGAGATAACGGAAGAAGGTGAAAGGCCGCCTAGGACAGCTACAAGAGCGCGTTGGACTGTTTCCGATGATATATTGGTATCGGTTTATGCAACGAGAAATTTGACATTTGTCTATGTAAGTAAGTGAGTGAGCAAATGAGAGTCTGGTGCAGGAAGGTTTGCTACTTACGCGCCGTAAATATATTTATACCCAAAGCGTTCTAAACGCAGCCAATTGTATGCTGTGTCCTCCCCTGTAAAATTTGCTTACCCCTGCATTGTTTTAATTTCGGGCGCTAAATACGGAAACTGGTCTCGTTCAACATGTTTGTGTAACCTATACTACGATTTCCATATAGGCTGTGAAATATATTATCTGTTCTGTTCACGGTAAATGGGACATTTTGCTCTCAGACTGTATCACAGCTTTATATTTCTGTGAGATATATTCTCAGTTTCTCTGGTAAATTAGGGCTTTAGCAATCTCAGGGCTGTGTTTCGCAGCATACAACCCTCACTGGAGTACCATCTTTCACCCATGTCAAAAGACATATAAAACTACAGGCCTCTGCTAAAACATTTTCTTCTTGTCTTCCATAACCTCGCTGACTTTTTCAATTGATCGATATTAATTCAGTCACTCCGAATTCATTCATTCGTAAAAATGGAACCATTCAACAGTCTCTTGTCCGTCTTGCTCTCGGTATTCGCATGTTTCGGGCCCCAAAAAGGTTGACGTACTTGACGATCCAAAGTAGCATATTACTAACTTGACTTAGAAGAAGAGAGCTCCAGAGCTGCACCTCACCTAGGGTCCGTTGTGACCCTGATGTGCGCCTCACAGTTAGAGGAGATACCGGTGAGTACCTGAACGTCGATAAATCAAATAGATTGCTAACGACAAGCTTCCAGGGACTGCGCTCATCCCCAGGATCTGCCCCTGACAGTCTCCGCATCGTCGGGGAAGACACACCAACGGACTGCGAAAATTTAGAGACATGGTACCGCATCCAGCGGACGATTCGAAGCCCAGCTGAAGCTCCAGACTCGGGATATGATACTAGAGAAACGCGATCCGAAGGCTACAGAATCTCGAGAACTGAGATAATTAAGTCTCCCATCGGGTTGGAACTTCTAGCGGACTGGCTGCGAATAGATAAGGAGGCTTCAAACAAGGAGAAAAGGAAGGCGCTCATTGGAGAATTGCAGGAGAGTTATCTCAACGAACGGTCTCATGTCCGTGCTCTTGCTGCTCAACAAGGATTGCCTTTGGATGATATTCATGCTTGGTTCATGAATAGGGTACGGGAGCTGGAGGCGATTAGTTTTGGCGGAGAGCTGAGCCGGAAAACTACATAAAACTTTCTAAATATGCCATCAATATGTTACTTGGAGCTTTATACTTTGGTTTTAGGCTCATACGTCGTTGATAAAATAGCTATATCATGTTACATTTCCTCCCCGCGAAATATTCCATTAAGTTTGAAGTCTCTCTCGGATAGCAAGACGTCAAAATACAGAATATGTCTAGCATATTCACTAGTACCAAGAGCTTTTCGCGCGTCGTAGCCTTGGAAATAAAAACTCACAACCGGTATTGGAACGAGTACATGGGCTGACCTAGAACCTTTGGGGGCTCAGGATTTTCTTGGGCATTCCATAAATCAAGAGTGGTTTTGAGTTGGGTGAAGTTGTTGGACTCTGCTGCGGTGAGAACAGTGAGTAAGACATTAGACATGATTTCAGGACTCGTGTAGTGAAAGTAAAGGAGATATTTTCTTGAAATAAATTATAAAGTTGTCCAATATCATTATTGATCCTTTATAGCAAAGATTAAAAATAAATAAATAAATAAATAGTAGGGCTGACACCAGCGAGGCTGTGCGTCCCACCGCCGATCAGGGTTGTCTAGCCCTCGATTGATACTTAGCTCGAAACTATCTCGAAGAAATCGTTCGATATTACTTCCCAGGCCACTTCCAAGCTAGCTACTGGCAATATCTACGCGATGCTTCTCGCCGGCTAGGGACCACCTGTTTCAAAGGCTCTGTTTACCGCCCTCTACTCACCTTCGCTCATATTTGCATACTCTACTGATTCGCTCGCGAGATGACGGGATCGAACGTGCTCAGGTGGAAATGGAGAAGAATTCGGTAGGAACAATGATTATGATCATGATAATTGATGGTAGAGTAGTTAGCGGAGGTATTGATCACAACAGTCACTAGACACAGTTTCTTCCAGCCCAATGGCACCACGCCATCATTCTATGGCAGATGTCACCGGTCACCCCGATCGACCAACCAAGCTTCATGCTTCTTGTTCCTTTTTCCCAGAGACAATCAACTTGGATTCCGTCGATTATGATGTCCAGTTCGGCCAAAATCGCGTCGCGGACTTTCCGGGCTAATCCTTCAATCCGAATTGCGTCCTGTCCCAAGCGTCCATGTTGTTCCAAGCTCTGCAAAATCACGGCATTTCTATCGGTTGGGCTAGGCCGAAATACATTGTAGTTTGCGAGAACGGCGCTCGCTGCATCCTTCGGCTATTGGGAAAATTATCTCCTCACTGCCCAGCGTGGAACGGTTGGCGTTGGAATTAAACACACCCAAGGCTAAACGGGCAGAAATACAAAATGAACATAGACTATGTAAGATCGATATACTATTGCTAGTCTGAGATGTTTACTGACTACCAACAGCCCTTGCAAATGCATTGGAGTCACCATCATTGAGTAATTTGCGGACATTGAATATCTACATTGAACAAGGCATTCCAGGCAACCACAACTTCAAGAACCAGCCCGACGACCCCAATTATCCAGATGGAGATGTATTGAATGTTGCCATTCGTAAATTGGCAGAAAATACACATTTGACAAATCGGAATCTCACTGGGTCTTGGCTGGTCTCGGCGGCGCTATTCAACGGAGAAGGAACATTCCCATATCTTGAGAAGGTGCATGTTAAAAGGAGCATTTATCACTTACGGTGGTCGATGGTACTACACCAGCAATCCCACCGATATCGAAGCGGATTACGGGCATTCTCGGGATGATTCAGGCGATGAAGATTCTGACTCAAACTCTTCCTTCAATTCTGAATTCCAGGATTCCCTGCCTAAAGGCAGAGAATCTCTTTTAAATGGTGACGAACCCCACTATATGTGGAGAGCACAGCCGGATCCGCAAATGTTCGATCCTCTTATGAAGACAATGGCTACTGTGGTACTCCGGATGCCCCGACTGCGAAATTTCTTGTTCTCGATCGGGATGGGCTGTATGGAGGATTGTGGTATTGTATTCGAATGCTTGAAGCCCGGAAAGCATCCCGAATGGTTTCGATTCCCTCAGAAGACGGTCGAGCTGGATACGACCGGATGTTATGTAACGTAATTCACAAGCGAGTGGGCCACAACACTTATGCCTGAAGCAAGGTGGGAGGTTCCCAATGATGTGGCAGCTCTGTGGACGGGGTTTGTGGGAGATAAGGGTGTCGTTGCTATTGCACCTTTCTGAAATTTTAACGTAATATAACTCTCTACCCCTATAGATAAGGCGAGATAGAAGACCACACGTGGTATGGAACTCGGCCAACACAACACTATCCACCACGACCCAATTTAAGAGACGCTACAATCCACTATTTGATGTATTTTCTAATCTTCTGCATGTCATTGCATCCATTCGCGATCATTACAGGGTCCAGAGCCAAACTGCTCGTCCGGTCCATCGGAAAGGTAACCCGCTGCTTGCGCGGCCCGCTTGGGTACCGGCTATGCCAGGGACATAACTCTATTGACAACTCAACTAAATTTGGCTGTTCATTATGGCGGTTCCAGTTGGGCTTTCTGCCTAGTATGAGCCCCGGGCTAGTACATCGTTTGAGAACCAACTTCCCCTGGATGTAGATGACAGAATTCTGGGTCCGGTGAGACCGACCCGCGTGGGATGCACATTTTCGTGCCTATCGTGGAGCAGCAATCGGCTGCTCTTCTCATGGCGACATTTTGCTTCTTGATGAGGAAGAACTGTTGCGTTATTATTGTCAGGTCGGGTCTAGGCCAAGCTCAAGATCAAGTATTTAGTCGGTGATCATCGGGGACGATCTGTCGATCATTCGTACCCTGCGTACGAGTCTAGGCATCTGTATTTCCGTGGAGTACTCTGTATCCTATGTATATAGACAGCTTCCGGAAGCTCTTAGCTACAGTTAGCACAGAATAACAGACATAATGCCACTCATTGCGCTTCTCCTCTGCGCCCTCTTCCATCTCGTCCAGTCCAAAATCCTTCTGCCTGGTCCCTCCGGACCCTGCCAGGTGCAGATCAAATCAACGGAATTAATCGACCACTCGCGAGTGGACCCTTACAGTCCCAAGCACGATGCCCGAGCTATCATGGTCAGCGCATTTGCGCCCGTCAACTGCGGCGAGGTGCAGTATACGCCCTATATCCCTCCGCGAATCTTCCCAGAAGCCAGCCAGAAAATGAAACTTCCAAATAGCACTCTGAACGTTTTTGAGTTACCTTCATTTGCACCCTCGGAACATCAAAACACAACGAAAGAATATCCCGTCATTCTCTTCTCACCAGGAATGGGCAGCTCTCGACTCATCTACGCCAACCTCCTCCAAGAAATCGCCAGTGCAGGCTATCTAGTCATCTCCATCGACCATCCCCACGACGCCGCAGCGGTAGAATTCCCCGACGGACACGTCATCTCCATGAACCCCAGTATCCCACACAACGTTTCATTGGCCCTGCAGACCCGCGTTGGCGATGTCATCTTCACTCTAAACCAACTCCAACACAACACCCAATCCATAACACCCCCCTCCTTCTCCAGCGGCCTACACTTGAACCATGTATCCATCGTCGGCCACTCAGAAGGCGGCGCAACCGCCGCAGCAGCAATGCTCAACGACACCCGTTTCGCAGGTGGCGTCAACCTAGACGGCAGTCTATTCGGTCCCGTTGTACATCAAGGCCTCGATCGCCCATTTATCAACATCGGTGATCCGCATCTAGCAAAGGAGCAGCATTGGGCTTGGGATGTGATATGGGGGCGGCTGCGTGGATTCAGGCTTCAGTTAAGGATTAAGGATATTAAGCATCTGGGGTTTACGGATCTTCCGCTGGTGTTTGATAGTGCGCCGAATGCGAAAGTGCTTCGGAATGAGAGTGCGGAGCATTTGGGGTCGTTGCCTGGGTTGGGGACGTTGCCTGGGTTGAGGGTTAGGGCGATTTTGGCGGAGTATATCACGGCTGCTTGTGGGTTTTTTGTCACGGGGGAGAAAGCTGGGTTGTTGAATGGGGCGTCGCCGGTGTATCCGGAGGTTGTATATGTGAGGCAATAGTTTGTATAGTAACATTGTTGGCAGTTAATAGATGTGCTACTTTCTTCAGAAACGAATTGGCGAGCTCAGTAAGCGAAGCGGTCAATAATCATAACGTTCATAGCCTTAGTTTTAATCTATCTATTCACCTGGAACCCCCACCCCAGAAACCTCCCTGCAAATCCTCAACAACTCCTCCTGCTTACCCACATTCCCAGCCCCCGGATGCGCCGAATCCTCCCCACTTGTCGTAAAAAACGCCCCGCTCCTCAAGCCAGCCAACTTTCCCTGTCCAGCCGCCCAATCCGCCAACGCCTTCGCCGGCTTATCCATCCCCCCAGGAGCCATCATGCCACCCATCTTAGTCCGAACCCAGCCAGGATGCATGCTGACCACCTGTATATCCTCACCCCACCGCCGTGCGAATGCATTCGCTAGCATCGTGTCGTGTAATTTGCTATCGCTGTAGGAGTGCGACTGTGTGATATTCCTCAAGCTCTCATCGCCGCCGTAGTGACTATCCGAACTCATAAACAATAGTCGCGATGTCGGCTTCTCCATTAAACAAGTCAGAATATACGGCGCGAGTGTATTCACAGAAAACACAGCAGAAAGCTTGTCACTGGTGATCTCCCGGCTAGATGTACCGCCGTAGCCAATCCCCGCATTATGAATAATCGCATCAAACGGCCCTTTGGCTTCTTGGGCTAGTCTCTTTATCTCGGTGATCGAGCGCAGGTCGCCTACTAGCACGGCTTCGGCTTTGGGGACTGCGCGGTGGGTTGTGGCGGCGCGGTCTGCGTTTCTGGCGTGCAGGACGACGGAGTGGCCTTTTTCTGCGAGGATGCGGGCGGCGGCTTGGCCGATGCCGTCGCTGGAGCCGGTTATGAATATGCGTGCCATTGTGGGTAGTAAAGTTTTGTTGATATATGTGACAGGAGAGTTAAGTTGTTTGTTCAATTGTTCGAGATGTCTTTCTTTTATTGAGGTTGGAGAAAGTACATAGGGCTTGACTTGATGATGTCATTGAAGTTGAAAAACCGGCCATGTGACGTCAGGGCTTGTCTACACATAGTAGAGCAAAAGCCGTAACTATTCAAATATAGAGCATGGCTTACATTCTCTAACTCACCTGGGAGACCTACCAATCGTAAAACCACACGCCGGCCGGTTAGTAGTTGGGTGGATGACCACCAGCAAATCCCGGCCGGTGTTATAGTTTTGTTTTTATTGCGAGGCGAGCGTTGTCGATATCCATGGAATGGCATAATTGAAGGTACCAATCGAGGCCGATATCCAAAGCGTGGCCCCTCTGCTATATTAGTTTTTTCCTCTTGGATGCGAATGCAAGTTTCCCGTTCGGGCGATCTGTGGACTCTTCACCTGATAGAGGAACCCGGGGTTTCTTGTTGCATATGAGGAAACTCGCATTCGTATTCAGATTTCTGGATAGCAATATCGACTATATAAATACGTACACACATGGAAACCATCGACAACTTTGCTCACCTTCTTTATCCCATACACGCTCGTCATTCGCGCTATAATACCTCCCCATGAACCTCTCCGCCATCCCCACTACAGCATGTGCCCCCTCAGCCATAGCTACCCCAACCATACTCGGAGCCGAGATACTCTCCCTCTCAGCCTCCCCAGTAACCAACTTCTCCTTCGACGTATTTGGCGCGTTCAACTACAACCACGGCAAGATCTTAGTGACCAATGCATCCTTCTGCAATATCACAGTAACCTACACCCATCCCGGCCAAAACGACCATATCAACGTCGAAACCTGGCTCCCTCTAAACAACTGGAATGATCGCCTACAAGCAACCGGCGGCGGCGGCTAGCAAGCGGGTCATTTCGCGCTATCCCCGTTCTTCATGGCCGGCGCTATTGGTGAGGGCTATGCTGCGACGACTACTGATGCGGGGTTGGCGGGGTCTCCGACGACATGGGCTTTGAAGAGTGATGACAATGTCATTCTGTATGCGCTGCAGAATCTGGGGTCGAGGGCTTTGTACGATCAGGCTGTTGTTGGGAAGAGTCTTGTTAGGAGTTCTGCAGTTTCTGCAAAACTACAATAACTCCGTCATTGATCATGAATATTTCGACTGACTTTTCCATCTCGGAGTACAGGAATACACAGATATCATCGGCACGGCTGACTCTGACCTCACCAAGTTTCAAAACGCAGGAGGCAAGGTACTCTCTTATCATGGCATGATAAGCAGCCTCTCTTCCCTGGCTGAACCGAATCTCTTCGAGTGACTGACAAAGACTAGGCCGATAACTCAATCCCAACAAAGGGAACAGAGCACTACTATAATGCAGTCAAGGAACACCTCCCTCACGTTCAAGATTTCTATCGTCACTTCGAAGTCCCGGGTTTAGGACACTACTCTAGTGGTAGCGGAGGACAGCCAAAGGCTGTGTTCGATGCACTACGCTCATGGGTGGAGAGTGGCACTGCGCCTGATACTCTGCCGATCGAGTTCGGCAGTAAAGATGGGTCTATGCAGGAACGTGCTCTCTGTCCTTATCCTTCCAAGGCCGTTTACTGGGGGTGGTGACTCGTCGTCTGTCGAGAGCTTCCGTTGCGTTGACTGAGAGGAAATGCTGTCATAGAAATGGCGGAATCAATGTCTGTTGTGTATTGAGGTAGATAATAAGGAGAAGAAAGAACGCCTTCATTTCATCTGCTCCATCGGCCATTGACAACGAAATCATCAGGCAGTGTATACAACCAGCCAAATATTTGCGGCCAGAGGTCCCCATCTGTTAACGACTGATGTCCATAACTGGAATCGAAGCAGTGATGGAGTCTGTCAAGAACATTGATGTAAGCCGGATAACGATTGTCGTCGATTGGTACTTCGCCCGCGATCAAGGTGCGCAGTTGTTCTATCTGATTGCTATACCCAGAGACTCGATGGCACAGAGAGCTAGGATGCGAGTTACGCTCTGTATGTTCTGAGTGTATTTCCAGCACGCCAACTGAGCAGTTCTCCAATATCGACCGGACACCCATAAATAGAAAAAGCGAACCAGTTCTTCCATCATCGCGAAAAGCCAGAAACTCATCTGGTTGAGGCCCTTTGGCGAACGAGCAGACAAATATAAGTATGGCAGCCATGTAGAGTGCATGACAATTGTGATGATCAAGAAGGGGCACCGCAGCCGACACCTTTCGAAGGGCAGTCGCGTAATGCCTTTCAGCTTCGAAATAATATTTTGATTCATGCTCTTGTATCCGTGCTAGATGAAACCCCGAAAACGCCAGGATGAGCTGCAAGATGTAATGGAACGAGAATCCCAAACGAGGAAGTCGAGAGTGCATTGTCTCGGGGCTCTTGGATGCGCCTAGTTCTTCTGAGGTAAGGAAGTGATGGAATAACTTCATATCGGCCCCAGTAAACTCGAATGCCGTGGTTATTAGCTCTGAGGGCGAGTCACTAGACGGCGTAACGGACGGCGGGTGCTCTTGTTGCTCTTTCTTGTGAGCAGCACTGCCTCTTTTCAGCGTTTTAAAATTCGACTGAGACGAGGAGTAAAAAGTAAAACCACTGCGAGGTAGTGGCTGCAGTTCCAGTCCTGCGTCCTGCATCGAAGGCGACGCATTACGAGAAACCGATTGGCCTGATTGATAATCACAGCCAACCGAATGGCGCAAACAGTTCGTGCACGCCGGCTTAACTTCATCGCACTAATCAATCACATTTGTCAACATGTGACTATTCACCTTTAGAACACAAATTCGTACCTTAACCCTGCGCCGTTTGCAGTTTCCGCATCCGAGACGCGATTTTTGGTGGGATTTACGTGAGGAGGCTGTCGTGTATCGCTTGGTGGAGGGGTTTATGGTGGATTGATTTGGAAGAGAGAAAGAAGCCAGAAGTCGCAAAGGGAAGTTCGAAGTCGTATTCGAGAAGAAAGTGCCCTCACTAGGCTTATATAGGAAGTCTCCGATCAAGAGCTTTCATCATGAATTGATACCCTCCTATTCAGAGTTTGGTGACGGTGAAGATTCGGCGAAATGGTTTATTTGCCGATTTGGATCCAGAGCTGTTAGTCTGATGATGATTCAATTCTAGTGTTCACTGTTTGCTTTCCTCGCACTACTTGGTTCGAATTGGATCATACAGACGGTCAAACAAGGTGAAATACGTGAGCGATTTGGTATTGAAGGGAGCTGCTGCGGCGACTGCTGCGTACCTCTCTGCTGTTCTTGTTGCGCCGTTATCCAGGAGAAAGAAGAGGTTTAATTGCGAGCTAGGCCTGAGTTTACGGGGTATGAAATGGCTATGGTTTGATCGGTGCAACGGACCTCATTTATCTTGGTATCGCCGTGAGCAATCCACTTTATGATTCAACAAGGACACATAATTGACAATCTCCAGTTGAGCACCGGCATCTACAATTTCAAGGTTTACCGTACAACGACGATGCTTCGAGGCTGCTGGAATGGCATATCCTTGAGAATGTTGTTTCATGTGGAGGGTGATTTAATAAAGAGATGGCTTTTACTTCGGTATATAGAGACCCTTTTCATTAATTAATAATTATTGTAATCATCCAGGCATGCATGAGTTATTTTGTCGTTCATCGGTACTATCGAAAAAGTTCTGGATCATTAGACCGGCTGTCGCATCTAGGAATTCCGCGTTGAAGGATCCCTGCGGGTACCCCGGTATATTCTGGTCGAGGCCCATGGAGAACGGGTTGAAGTTCGCCTGGTCGTCCGAGGGTGCCCAGAGTGATCGAAACGGTGCTGGGATTTGTGTCGAGGTGTACGGACTAAAATTTCCCGGTGCGGCTAATCCATGCCCGTGTTCTATGTATTGTTAGTTTTGATGTCTGTTGGTTGAGGGTGTTGACATACCGAGGACCGTTTGAAGAACGTCTCTGGCCCGGAGAGCCATGTCGTGCGACGACCCCAAACTACCGAGACAGTCGACCGCGCGCTGAATATGGCTCTTCCAGCCCGGCGCGAGCGCATTCCCAGGTTCATAAATGTAGCATGTCGCCTGGACAAAAGTAGCCGTGAGTAGCCAGCAGGTCGCGTACCAAGTCAGTCCGCGACGGCGGTTATCAGTCGACTCGAGGAATCTGCAGATAGAAGCTACGCATTCGTCTGTCGCAGCGAGACAGGAGGCGATTGGGCCCGACGATGTCGCGAGATCGGATTTCGCTGCGATGCGTTGGAAGAGAAAGGGGCGGTTTATGACGATGCGGAGGTGGAAGGATCGCCAAAGGAGTACTCGTCGTGGAATGTCGAAGCGTGGTTCGAGGGGGACGTCGAGGCTGAAGTGCGCCGGGAGTTCATGGTACCATGCTGAGATGCGCTGTTCCAGAGCTGCAGCTTTCTGGTACGTGGGTAGGTGGTGCGTAAGCAGCTCGACCTGGACGGCATTGGCTATCTTAGCGAGGTTGACCTGCGCGATCAGATAGGATGTTATGGTCGGTCCTGTGCCGCATTCGGGTAGCGCCTCCATGTCGACTGCGAGGTCGTGGTCGTCAACGTTGGCGGGTAGATGGACGGTTACCCCGACCAGGGACACGGCCGGTCGGCCTAGGATAAGCTGGACGCCGGACACGAACACGAATAGCGTCCACCACACGCGTCGTCGAATTTCCATAGTGAAAGGCGAAGTACTCGGCATGCCGAATTCGCGATGCAGGCCGATGGCTAGCGCCATGCTGAAGCCGATTCCGATCAGGATAAAACCTGCGTTGGGCTTGTTGCGCTTTTGCAGGTAGTTGGCCATAAGCACAATGCCCTGTACATAGCTCAGGGACCCTTTCTCCAGCACATCCATTGATAGATGCTTTCGGGCTTCTTTGAAGTAGGGGACATCGGCTTTGGTTGCATTGGAGTCCCCGACGAATGCCCCAATTGCGAGGACGATGTTGTATAGCAGTGGCCATGATCCATCGCGGGGCTTGGCAAGTGCACCTATCGCTGTTAGAACACTCTTCCTGACAAGAACATAGGAAACGTACCGGAGACACGTGCACGAAATGTCCCCTCATGCAGAATAGGGTACGCAGGATGATAATACTCAAAATAATCATCCAAATACCGATTAATCTCAGCCCTCCTCCGCTGCACCGCAGCAGCAGACGAATCATCCTCCTCATCATCCAGCGAAGACCCCGGAGTAAAGCTACTCAGTGGCAAATACAGCGGAAGCGACTGAAGAAACTTTAATGCCGCAACCCCCGACTGTGGACCCGTATAGCCAGCCTTGTGCGGATCGACAGTCAGAAACCCCATACCGTCTGTGGAGTTATCAAAGTCCTGCGACTCGTCAAACTCGTAGTCCTCGGCATTACTGTGCTCCGCGAAGCTGGTCGGAGGTTGCTCCGTTGAATGAGTGACGTCGTTGTGGTGCTTTTGCCGTTTTTGGTCGGCTGGGACTGGATCGGTATTGTCGTTTTGTAGGCGGATTGTTTGCAATGCTTCATGGAGATCGACTGATGGGAGGTAGACGGCCCACGCCCGCTCCATGTCTGCTTTGATGCGTTCCAATTCATGGAGACGTCTGTTTTTCATAAGCATGTTACATGAAAATGCTACGAGTCAGGTACTACCTCTGCAAAGTCGATAGCCTCTGAGAAGGCGAGGAATACCGGCAAAGTTTGATATCGCGCTTGCAGTTGGCGCAGTTCTCATCGCCGGAGCAGCGGATCTTGCGCCGCTTGCACTCATCGCAGGCATATGACTTGCGCAGGACGTGTCGTGTGCGTTGTACGTCCGTCATTTTTGCAGCAGTGGATTGTTTGACGGAGAGAAAAACTTGGAGAATGCGGTTTCGGTAGATGCGGGGTTAGCGCCGAGACTCGCCACGGAGAAATTGCGGGGACTTAACCCTAAGACTTGCTCGGAGGTAGCTCCGAGGCGGTACACCCACTTCAATAGGTCGTCAGAAATTCGGTCATAAACTACGAATGATTGAGCAATAAATTGACCAGCTGCGTTTCATTGTACCTGTGTACCTGTATACCATACCCCTGAATACTATCACCATGTCCCTCCTAGGAAAAGTCGCCATCGTCACTGGAGGCGCCCGTGGCATCGGCGCTGGCATCGTTCGCAGCCTAAGCCAAGAAGGTGCAAAGGTATGACGCAACACCATACCAATGTCGTCTGTTGAATACCTCATTCTAACAAATATTCAAGGTCGCATTCAACTACGTCTCTCCATCCTCCCGCACCGCCGCAGACGCACTCGTATCCTCCCTCCGCAATGACAACAAAGAAGCCATCTCCATCCAAGCCGACATGGCCGACACAAACGCTCCCGCCACTATCATTAAAGCCACATTAGACTCCTTCCAAACTGATACAATTGATATCCTCGTCAACAATGCGGGTGTAGGCGACAACAGACCCCTTGGCGATGTCACGCTAGACGCATACATGCGCATGATGGATATCAACGTGCGCGCTGTGATCTTCATGACACAAGCCGTCCTGCCTCACCTCCCCCAGCCTCGTGGCGGCCGCATCGTCAATCTCTCCTCCATCTCCGCGCGCGGCGGATATCCCACGCAGTCTGTGTACGCGGCCAGTAAAGCTGCCGTCGAGGGTCTCACTCGGGTCTGGGCCACGGAGCTGGGCCATAGCTACGGCGTGACTGTGAATGCCGTGAATCCGGGTCCTGTTGATACGGATATGTACCAGGCAGCTGGGCCGGTGCATTTGGCACGAATGGAGGAGCAGAACAAGAAGGTTCCGGCAGAACAGAGGTGCGGGACTGTGGATGATATTGGGGATATTGTGCTTTTCTTGTCGCAGGAGAGGTCGAGGTGGGTTACAGGGGATGTTATTTGTGCTAATGGGGGGATGTTGTATACTTGAGATAGATCGATAGACATGGGTGTAGTGAAATAGAGTACATTTAGATTGAAGGCTGTTGGTTCCCAGATTCCTAATCTAGTTAGATATGTATCCTTCAATACATAAACTTTAAAGACAAGATTAAATCGCGGGGCAATATTGCCTGCCCCAGTTGGAGACGGTGATGTGTCCGGCTGTGCTGTGTATGGAAGCCGGTGCTGTTTCTAGCTTTGTCAACTATTCTCCTTATTATCCGTCCAAGAACACTGGAAGATATTTTTCATTGGTCCATTGACTCAATAGAGAGAGCAAGTAGAAAATTTCCCAAAACTTGGATTATCAGGCTAATGTTGAGGGAAATAAACATGCCCTCAATTTATAGTCTCGAACATCCACTCAAGAATACCAATAGCAGAACATTGAAGAAGAACAAGAAATTGTTATTTTAGTCTATCATATATCTATCTAATCATCCAAAATCTGCACCTTAATTGCCCCAGACCCAGGGTTACTCGCCGTGTCAAACGCCTTCAGCCCATCCTCCAACTTGAACCGATGAGACACTAACGGCTTAAGATCAATAATCCCCGCAGCCGCCAAAGCAATCGACTTGGGATAGATGTCGTGGTAGCGGTACTGGAACTTCAGATCAATCTCCTTGGCAGACATGTGCATGAAGGGGATATTCTGGAAGTCCTTTCCGACGCCGATGACGAAGACTGTGCCTCCGAAGCGGGTTGCCTTGAACGATGATTAGCTATTGAAGAAATATTTGAGAAAGGGCCATGGGGACTTACATAAATACCAGCATGCACACTACTCTCAACACCAGTGCATTCCAATACAAGCTTCGCCTCCTGTCCGAGCTCCTTGATAATTCGCTGACCAAGTTCTTGCGAACTCTCCCCCTTGCCCACGGCGACCGGTTGCACACGCGGCACCAACTCCTTAGCCTTAGCAAGACGGTTCTGATCAATATCTGTGATGACAATTGGCGCCGCGCCGGCAGCGTTCGCAGCCAACAAAGTAACAAGACCAATAGGCCCAGCACCGCAGATAACCACAGGGTCTGCAAGTCGGAGTCCCGAGCGATCAATTCCGGCAAGTGCGACAGTCAAAGGCTCCAAAAGAGCACCCTCCTCGAAGGTGATGTGGTCGGGGATGCGGTGCAGCCAGGCCTCCGGGTGGGCGTGGTACCGGCGCAGAGTACCGTGGTGTGGGGGTGTTGAGAAGAAGACGACATCGGGACAGGCGTGGTAGCAGCCTGTGCGGCAGAAGTTGCAGGTTGGTTTTGAGCATGGGACGCCGCATTCCATTGCCACGCGATCGCCTTTACATACGTATCAGTATAGTTCCGCAAGGCATGTATAAGGTGGTGGATGTCTTACCTGGCTTGAAACGAGTCACTTCTTCACCAACCTGCAAAACCACACCGGCGCTTTCATGCCCCAATCCATTATCATCAGTCACGATCATAGGCCCGATGTGTCCATGCTTCCAGAAGTGAACGTCAGAACCGCAGATTCCCGTCGCGCGAACGTGCACCAGGCACTCGTCGGGGCGGAGCTTGGGGATTTCGCATTCCACTACCCGCAAGTCATGGTTGGGGTTGGTGTGGATAGCGAGGTTTTGGGGTTTTTGTTGGATGACGGTCATTTTGTGAGGTTGTTTTTTCGAGTGGGTGTTGAGTGATGGGTTAGTACTTTGAAAGATACTTATACCAGTGGAAAGATTCGGGTCACTTGCGCATTGTAAAATTCCTTGCGGGCATACTACCGAGCCCCAGAGGCTAGACGTGTGGTCCAGAAACAGCTCAGGAAAATCGAAGTGTGGTTGGAGCAAGATGTCGGGGTTATCTCCATGCATGTACTAGAATGTGGGGGAATCCTTCGGAGAAATCACCGAGCCAATCCCCGCACTTTATCATGCTTCTTCAGGTACGGTTCCGAGCTTTTCGACAACAGCAACACATCATCACAGCAATTGAGTTTCGGAATGTCCTCACGCATTATAGCGAAAGGGTTCTGTATGCATCCCTCTATTGCCTTATTGAGATTGTCAAGAGCTAGGACTCCATTATTCTCGTTATTCTGGGTATTATCACAAAAAGGTATTCCGATGACACAAATTTTCTCATTCTATTGTTCAAAACTAACCATACAACCAATCTTCCTACCCACTACTACTACCATTACATATCACAACTAGCTAGTACATTACCTTGAAGGCTTCTAGCCACAATATTTCTTCAGACCGCCGAGTTCTGACGAGAATTGGCCCGCGACGCAGCCGCAGATCGAATCTGAGTCTGCATTTCCGCCCTCCTGCCCATCAGTTGCTGCGCGAACGGTGACCGCTTCCGGAGGATTGGTCCGTAGAAGTAGATCACGTATACCGTGGCGACGAGGAGCACTGAGATGCAGACTGGTACCATGATTAGCTACAGTTCGTGAAGTGTAAACGGGGAGAGAAACTTACATAGAATAGTGGACGCATATTCCAAGTGGTATTTACCACCGATATCTATAGTAAGTTGTCAGCATAAGAGCATCGGATAAACGAAAGGAAACGTACGCTGATAAAACGGCGTGGCAGGAACCGTCAACACACCCGCCAAAAAGTCCCTTGCAAAGCCATTCCCTCCCGTAGCAGACGCAGAATAAGGACCGTAAGCACAAATCATATAGTCAATCGTAGTCATGAATATGCTAAAGTTCGCGATGCCAACTAGCGCTGAGAAGAACATGGTTCCAATCCAATGTGTTTGTGGGAGAGAAGTCCACGCAAATCCAATTAGCCCGATGGGGAGGCAGGGGGCTGTATAAAGGAGAATCCAGAGGCGTGATTCGTACTGTGCTTGTTCATCGTCCGGCTTTGTTTGGCGTTCGCGGGTGTTGCGTCGGATGACGGGGATGAAGATTATCCAGGAGATTATGTATCCGACTATGATAGGAATGAAAGATAGACCGACAGCCACGGTGCTGAAGTTCCACTGCTCGTACACGAGGGCGAAGGATTGAATGAAGATGAAGATCAGAGCATCAGTGAAACCGCTGAGCAAGGACAAGGCTGCCACGATCGGCTCAGTGAGAAACATGCGAAAAGGTCTGGTCCAGGTGGTGAGGATTTCCTGTGTAGAGAACCGGTCTTTGAAAGATATGGCCTCGCCAGGACCGTACACGTTCTCACCCTTTGCACGTCGTTGCCTTGCAACCCGGTCGACCAGTATCGATGTCCTGGTCTCTGGCACAAGGATTAGGTGTGTCAGCTGAACAAAGCCACCAAAGATGAGTTGAATCCAGATATTCCACCTCCATGGAAGGTAAGCCTCCACGAAGCCCCCGACAACAGGCCCGAGCACCGAGCCGCCCACAGAGGAAAAGACCACGCATGCCACTGCATATTGCTGGTCATCCGCCTCCCAGAGGTCCGCTATCATCCCCAGTGTCACCGACCCTCCAGCTGTAGATATACCACCTAAAGCTCTCCCAACCATAATCGTCGCGAAGTTCGGAGAAATCCCAACCGGAATCTGCCAGATATTCACGAGAAACAAACTCAACTGGAGAATGGGCTTCCGACCCAACTCCTCACTCCAGGGAGCCCAGAGCTCGCACCCAAATGCATAGAGGATGAGAAATATCATAGCTCCGCAGCGTGCTGCTTGTTTGCTCACATTGAACTCTTCTGAGATACCGGACACGGCGTTGGAGTAAAGACTGGTGTTGAAGTTCATGGATGTTTGGACGAGGAAGATGACGATAATGATTGTCCATTTCTTGAGGCTGGGAAATGAGTAGCCAAGGTCGGGGTAACAGTCGGCTTTGGTGAGAATCTGAGGATTGGATGCGATTTCGATCTGGTCGTAGGTGCCGTGCTGGAGTCGGGCATCTTTGCCGTTGTTTGTGGTGGCACCTGGCGTTGGGTCTGGCTGTGATGACATTTTGATCATGTATCAGTGTATTTTAAGGTCATGGTTTGGGACATGAGGATTACTGGAGAAGTTTATACTACCTTACAACCCCGGACAGACTCCACGGATATGGGAATTCTTGCGGGATTTTGACTTATGCCTCATATCGGAAGATATACGAAATCGCCGTCGCGCCTGGCTGTAGATGAGGGGCATACCGGATGGAGTACTTTGCTTGTCAGCTCTAGTAATAGACATTCGTACGTGATGCCAGGGAAAGACTCACATTTTCATCTCGGATAAATCGCCGTGATTAGCTGCATAAGAGCTGTATGCCTTAATCTACAAGTCATGGTACGGTCCCATGACTCACGTAACTCACATGACATTCGCTGCTCAACTCATTCTTGGCCAAATCTCAAGGAAATTTTTCGCACACAGCTTCATATCATACCCAATAATGTCTACAGTCACCGTTATCAAGCGCAAGAGAAGCTCTCAGTTCCGGCTCGAGTAATTGGAATCGGATGAGGATCGAGAACACCACGAACCTCTGAACCTGCCAGAGGCTGTCAGTACGGTTAACCACTTCCTGAACACGCTAGAGGGAAAGAATTTGAAATTACGTGTGGGGAAGGAGACACTCTACGCTTATGCATACCCTCTCGGTCTAGCTATACACCCCGACACGAGAGACCCCCAAAGCGACGTAACACTGCTATACATGGCCACCGCAAGAGGTGATTACAATGGAGTCGAGACCCTTATTGCTTATAGTGCGGACATTTGTCTCGAGAGAAGCGGGCATGGGACCGCGTTGCATGCAGCCGTAGAAGGCGGCTGGAAGAAAGTTACGGAGTTGCTTCTTTCGGCAGGCGCTGATGCCAACTTGCAGTATGCGATCCTTGGGGCCCCTCTAACGGTACTGATGGCTAAGAGGTGGAAGTTCTCTTGCCTGGATATGCTTGGGCTTAATATCCTTTTGAGGACTGCCACCGTTGCTGTGCGAAAATACTGCTGGACTGGGGTGCGGATGCTGATGCTGATGCTGTTGGGGAATATGGGACAGCATTTGAGACTGCAAAAAAGTTTGGCAATAAAAAAGGTGTTGAATTACTCTTGAGCAGAGTAGTTTATTAGAATGTACCATGATGTATTGATGTCCGTCAACAAACGTTCACATAGTAGATTTATAGTCGGAGTAATAATGCTAAGCTTGAGAAAACAAATTCTCCCACAAGATCTCCTTATTATTGAAATATTTACCCTTATCGAGGAAATTTTTATTAGAACTGCGCTTTCCAGACATTTTACTACAATCTCGCCAGCACTCTGTCTAGAACACCCCAACTTTGATCCATCTATTACAAGTACAACTCGTCTGCAATGACCATCTTGACAAAATACCTACGCAATTCCAACTCCGCATAATAAACACGACCCGGATGAAATAAAATTAGCGAAGCGAGCTGCTCCCTCTAGACCAGACCAGGCAATACCACAATCCCTCTCAATGGCTTCGAGCAAAAGATGGCGCGAGAACTCACAGGCGGCGAAAACGTCAGGTTGACCCAAAAAGAACACAAAAAAACGCCCCCTGAAAACTACCCCGAAAATTTCCCCGCGCATTATAATACCCCCTCCCACCAAAACCATCCAAGTTGCTCGCGATAATGAAAAGACCTATCCCCCAAGAAACATACAACCAACGTCAATCCCTCTTCGCCCTCCTCCTATACGAAATTCGCGAGATAATCTAGTTCGAGTTTCTAGGAGGATGTATCCTACACATAGCCCGCGCTCGCGGGAAATTGGTTGTCATTGCCTGCGTCGACCAGAAAGAACGCTATCATTACTGCTGGGGTCTTACAAGCAGGGATTTATCTTTGGGCGCGACGGCGGGATACTATCTTGCTCCTATATGGGAATGTCGCAAGCCAGTGGACTATGTTTCTTTGTTAAGGACGTCTCGGTTGATGTACTCGGAGGTTCTCCCCATCCTGTATGGGAGTAATGTTTTTGATGTCAACCACATTGACACATTCATCTACCTCAAACGCTCCGTCCTCTCGCAATGTCTGGACATGATTCGCAAAGTAACCCTTACCTGGGGCCTCAAGTACTATACCAACTACCAACTTCACCAGAGTCCCGTACAATACTGGGACGTGACGGGAGGTGTTTAAAGTGCTTGCTGGCTTTGAGGGATTGTAGGAGGCTACCATGCATCTAACTGGATTGTTTTCAATGCTGGGATGTATCAATTGGGATTGTGGAGTCCAGTTTCGGACGCGCTGAGGAGGATTAGGCCGGAAAGAAAGTTTGATGTGGTGTTGCCTTGGAATAAGGAGGATTGCAAGAAGATAGCAAGGGAGCTTTGGTATCTAGCTCTAAATGCCTTAGATACAAGGAGCCCTAAAAACCACAAAACACTGTTATAATGGCCACTGAATACGTCGAGTCTGGCGTAAATATTAGCAGAAATTTATTATCGGTTGAGTTATAGTTTGTTGGGATTTTTGAATTGTAACGGACATCTTGACAGAATACCTACGCAATTTTTATATTTCTAAATCAAAGCATAATATATTCGTCGGCCGCTAAACTAAGTAAAAACTTTTCACACACAATATAATAAAAAACCAACAATATGCCATCTAACACCCAAAATGCCCCAGAAATACCAAGACAAACACACTAAGAAAATTCAAAAAGAACGCATAGAAAACGTCCCCCGAAAACACCCTCCCCAACGTCCACGCGCGCTAACATACCCCCTCCCACCACCGCCACTACCACAAAAACCAACTTCACCACTTTCAGCATTCCTCAACCTATTCAAAGAAAGCCAAAAAACACACAACCAGACCCAATCCCTTTTCGCACGTTTGCCCTATGAAATCCGCGAGATCATCTGGCTCGAAGTCTTAAGTGGGCATGTACTGCATATCGTGCGTGCGCGAAAGAAACTCGTTGCCATTGCATGTCCCGAGGGCCCCAACAATGATGATTATGGTGATTATTATGATGATGATGATGATGTTGTTGTTAATCACAATCCCAGCAACTGCTGGAATACCGCAAGCGGGCATAATCTCTTCCAGTTGAGGAAGGCGAGGCGCTGCAGAGATCGCTTGTACTACAGGCCTCTTCAAACATCTCATTCAAGCAAGGCGATGAACCTTCTTCCGCTGCTGCGGACGTGTCGGTTGATATATACAGAGACACTTCCTTTTTTGTATGGGAAGAACGTGTTTGATATCAATCATCTTGATACACTTCTATATATGAAGTTGTCCGTTTCACGGCAGCGGTTGAATCAAATCCGCTACCTGAGATTTACATGGGATTTCAAGAATTATACCGGCTATCAGTCCCCAGCCCCATATGACTTGGGGACATGGCAAGAAGCTTGTAAAATGCTTAGGGGGCTTGAGGGGTTGCAGGAGGTTACAGTATATTTGTATGGGTTTATTTTCACTGCTAAGCCATCGCAACAGGGCTGGTGGGGACCAGCGCTGGATGAACTGCAGAGTGTTAGGGTGAGGAAGATGTTTGATGTTGTTTTGCCGTGGACGGAGGAGTGTGAGCAGGTGGAGGAGGGAAAGGGGTATTTGTTTAGGCTTTTGGGAACGGTGGACCCGAATGGTTATGGAAATTACTGGTGAGACCTGGCTTGGATATTGCTATTGCTTGTCTGTATTAGCATCATCTTGGAATACAGCTGTTTTGTGCATTATGACATGGCTACTGATGGCTGTTAGGGTTGATTGCAATTGCGTAGGTTGAATGTATGCGACACATTGGACATAATGTTTGACGTTTTAGAAATACAGAGAGGAGAAGCAGAAACCCAAAATAACGAATGAGAGAGGCATCGCGACTACCAATATGGCGGACCACGCACGCCTCCATCCAAATAAGCCGGACCGACCTCCTGAATATGTCTCTCAACAAAATACCTCCACCGTCCAGTCCTCCACTTGGTCTCGAAACTATCAGCCTGCTCCGGACCCAAGCGGTCCTGACGCACGACATTCCCCATGTCATCTAGAAAAGCAAGCAGCAACCCGTCACCCATCAGAGTGGTAATATCTTCGACCATGATATACGTGACGATACAAGCGATATGGTACGAGACAAACCGCTCCCGGATAACTCTTGCGTCTATTTCATCCTGATCGAGTAATTCTTCGTAATGGCTTTCAAGTCTGGTCCATGGACCGGTATCTTCCCCGCATAAACGCTGCAGCGCAGCTTCTCGTACATGTGCGTACTCGGGTCTGGAGGTATTGATGACTCGTTCGGGGAACGCTTCGAGCGCCAAGTCGACATTCTCGGTTCCGAACGTGCTTTGATCGTTAAAAATGAGCGAGCCGGGACCTGCTGCTTGGTATGTCTCGCACATGAATTCCCTCCAGATTGAGTCGTGCGCGTCGGCGCCGTCGGGGTCGTAGCAGATGCGCATCCAGATGGGGTTTATTCCCGCCGCAGGGCAGAAGCGGCGGAGGCCATCTGGACGATAGGGGCGGAGGATATGCTCGATCTGTTCCTCTGTCGGCTGTGCGGGGGAGTAGAGTGGACAATTGGGATCAGTGCGTCGGATATAGGGCTACGGAGTACCAGATCTATGATCAACATCGCCCGCGCATTATTTCCAGGAGACAGGCTTACCTCTCTGCGAATCGCACCGAGTTGCATAAACTGTCGCGCCAAACGACGACAGCGTTCTTGGACAGTTTCCCACGCAGAACGCGGATGGGGCACGTGCCATTGCTCCTGAGCCCAAGACCCAGTTAGTACCAGCTGTTGCAGAAGGATAAGGTTATCGTGGAGTCGAACCCACCAGCATGTAAATGTCCAGTGGGAGGTGTCCCCACTCAGGCACCGGGGGTGTGGAGTGTGGTGGTCCCGTCTGAAGGGCGTAAATCGGCTGCAGCATGTTCACGTTTTCTCGAGTTCGACTTCGACGTTATTGTCTTCCAAGATAGCAGATCTGAAGGCCATTATCGATAGAAATAAGGCGCCTATATATGAGAATAAGCATGTCAGCACGGCAGATACGCTGAGCCCAACTCGGCAATCGCGGGGAATTGGGCATACTTCGGAAGAAGCAATAATCCGGAAGAGATAACGGGTATTATGTCCCTACCTGCTGGGAGGGGAAGTTGGTCGGCTCCCGTCCTCCCGATCAAGCGATCTGCAGGTACATCGACAAAGTACCGAGAGTTATGCCTATTGATTAGCTAGTATACAGCAGGAGGGCCACGCTGGCTATGGAACAATAGGGTATCAGCAGAGATTATTCTCTTCAGGCACTGCAAAATGCATCGGCGATGGCGTGCCACTGCTTGTTTGCGCTTGTTTGTGCCTGTTATTCCCAGAGCCAGGTCACGCTTGACGCGTCTGTTAAATATTCCATGCCATTCTGCAAGGCGTGGCTATCCTGCAGTCGAGCCGCTCAACCCGAGGTCAGCAACAGGGTATCTAGTTGGGTGTGCAGACTGCATCCCAGAATGCTTGGGTGCCAATTCCAGAGTTTGTTTGTGCCCTGGAGCGCCGCTCCTTTTTCGCCCTGCTGCTAGAATGTTTCAGGGAAATAGCGTCAGTCTAACCTTGGTGCGTCTATTGGCTTTTACATCTGAACTCTGCGGGAGGCGTGGCCTCATTTTGCATACCTCGCTCAGAATCCGAGAGTAAGCATCCCTTGTACAGCAAACCATATTCATCCTTCAAGGTACAACGTACTTCTGTACACATTGCTGTAGATAAAAATTGCTCTCTGATGACTTGTCAGTCTCAATTCTCAATTAATCCGTCATTAATAGTGTGTCCAATAGCAAACCGGCATTATATACAACACGTCTAGAACCAAATGCTCCGCGCCTCATCAATGGCTAAAGGGTATAGAGCACAAAAAAACAAATCAGAAACTCCCAAAAATAGCCTATCAACTAGGCGCCCGTCCCTCCAACTCCTGCGGCTGCACATGCTTAGCCCCATCCAATTCCTGCGTCCGCAGCCCCTCCATTCCCGGAGCCGGATAATCCGCCATCTGTCCATTTCCATAAACCGGCTGCTGCATCTGCACAGGATACGAAGCACCAGGCACAGCCGCCGCACCCACAGCAGCAGCCGAATTTATCACCGCATACCGTCTCTTCCGCTCAAACAATGCCCAACCCAATGCCGTCAGAAGCAACACACCAAGCGGCACGCCAACTCCTGCCCCGATAGCCACGTCTCTCTTATTATTGCTCGAGGGAGATACCGTCGCAGTAGGCGACGCGCAAGTCGCGTTGACTTTACTCGTTGTGCTCGAATTCGACAGCAGCGCGCGACCGATGACGACTTTGCCGTCGGGGATTGTGAAGGGTGTTTGGCCGTTTGAGCAGGCGGCGTCGGTTCCGTCGCTGATGATTGCGTTGCAGCAGTAGTCTATCTGGGTGCTGTTGGCTTTGTAGAGGACGATGGCGCAGCCGGTGTCGGGGTAGTCCGATGCTATTGCTTAGTTAGCATTTCGGTACGTGTGTTAGGGGATTGGCAACTCACAGCCAGCACATTGGGACGGGCAATCAGCGCCCCAACTGCTATCAGTGCAGGCACCTCGCGACATCGTGTAGGGCTGTGATTCAACATCCATACAATACCCATTGCTCAAACAAATGGCACTCTCGCCACAGCACGACGTATACAAACTATCTGTACACGGCACATTCCCCGAAGCTTCCTGTCCATTGGGATAATAGCAAGTCCGCTCACTTGCAGCAGCAGCGGTGCATGCAAGGGCAATCGCGAGGAACGATCTCTGCAATAACATCTTGGCGTCTTGGTCAATGGATAACACAAAAGCGATCGATTGAGAATGATTGAAGAGAGAATCGAGCTCCCGGAACAGGATTGAGCTTTAATTTTTTCCCCCTCAAGCCCCTAAGTCGCAAAGATTGAGACACATTCATATCACACTGACAATCGATCCCGTATAAGGATATGATGGTCGCGATCAATGCGCCAAGTATACAGTTTCATTCGCCAGTTAAAGCGCCAGCACTTTTATTTCTCTACTGAGTGGAGGGACTTGTGGATCCTTTTTTGGCGCACTCGCACTGCTTACGGCAAACGGCCGAAACCGCATGCGAGGCTCTTGAGACTTCGAGATATCGTGATTTGCATATCGGTATCCGGCATGGTCATCGAAATAAATGAGCGCTGTGCCCCGAACAGCGAAAGTGAGAATATCCTGTAAATCAGTCCTTCAGCACGGAAAACTCAGCCGCCGGGGATCTCGGAGACCGCCGGACAAGCTATTCCATACTGGGTATACTCCGAGTAGTCTCTTATGGCCATGAGATCCTTGCTGTTTCCATGGCAGTCATAAAGGCGATATGCTCATTTGCATTATTATGAATTACTATACTAACACCCTAACCAGACTACCCGGACAAAAGATTAAAATGCAACCTGCGTACTAAACCCATCCATCTCCCTCGGAAAGTTCCTATGCTGCGCAACCGCATAGAAAAACTTACCCACAAAATCCGGCGCATCCCTCGCAATCCTCACCCCCTCCCTAAACGTCTCCGGCTTCTGTACAGCCCTAGCAGTAACAACCCCATACCAATCCAACGGCTCCGCCTTCGCCGGCGTAGCAACCTGCAACCCATCCACAGTCGCCAAATTCTGTCTCACAAAGTCCGTCGCTTCACCCGTGGCTCCAATCGCCTTCAAATGCCCAAACGACTCCTGCACCCAGTAGCGCAACTGGTTGTTGTTCTGGAGCTGCTTGACGTGCGAACCACCGGGGATGAATGTTGCGTCGAACATGGTGGATCGCTGGCCGTCGTATTGGTGGTCTGGGATGACGCCCTTGGAATTGGTTTTGTTTTCGCCTTCGGCGTAGATGGCGGAGCGGCGGGTGCCGATGATGAAGGGAAGGGCGCTGGCGGCTAGGATGGCGGTTTTGATGGCGGAGAAGGCGACGGGGTCGTAGCCGTCGCCGATGAGGATGGCGATGCGGCGGCTGGCGATTGTGGGCTTTTGCGGGGTGAAGTCGGTTTGGGAAAGGTGGAAGGCTTTCTTGCCGTGGTTTTGGCGGAGTTGCTTGGAGGGGATTGTGGCGCCGACCAGTTCAGCGACTGTCTGTGCGAGATCTAGGTCGATTTCGGCGAGACGGTGGCCGGCGAGGCGTTCGTAGACGGTGGGGTCGTCGCAGTGGTCTAACTCGAAGCTGAAGGCCTTCTTCATGTGGAATCTCTCAACCGGAGACATGGAGTTGTAGAATAGTTGAGCTTGATTGTGGTGCTCGCGGAACTTGTCGCTCAAGCCGCGCTTCTTGATACCCACAGTTTGTTGCGGATAGCTCTCGAAACCTCCCTCGCCTGGTTTGGCTGGCGGTGCGGCTTCGAAACGGTTGGGCCAGTAGTTGACAGTTCCCTGTGTGATACGGTGACGCATCTGGCCATCGCGGTTGAAGTTGAACACGGGGCACACGGGACGGTTGATAGGAAGCTCCTCCCAGTTGATGCCCAAACGGCTGATCTGTGTATCGAAGTAGGAAAAGTTCCGGCCTTGCAGCAATGGGTCATCGGAGAAATCAACACCGGGAACAATATGGCTGGTACAGAAGGCAACCTGCTCCGTTTGCGGGAAGAACTCGTCCACATTGCGGTTTAATTCCAGCTCTCCAACAACGCGTAGCGGGACAAGCTCTTCGGGCCAAACCTTCGAGGCATCCAGAATATCAAAGTCGAAATCATCCTGGTTCTCCTCGGGAATGGCCTGGATAGCAAAGTCCCATTTCGGATATGCCTTGTTGTCAATAGCCTCCATCAAATCCTTGCGATGGAAGTCCGGGTCCTGACCAGCGAGCTTGAGTGCCTCGTCCCAGACGAGCGAGTGCACACCCAGATGCGGGATCCAATGGAACTTGACAAAATGGCGCTTTCCTTGCGCGTTGATCAGGGAGAATGTGTTCACTCCGAATCCCTGCATCATGCGGAAAGACCGCGGAATCGCGCGGTCAGACATAGCCCACATGAAGAAATGAGTGGCTTCGGGGTGCAAGTACACAAAGTCCCAGAAGTTGTTGTGCGCAGTTTGCGCTTGGGGGACTTCATTTTGTGGTTCTGGCTTGACCGCGTGGACTACGACTGTCAGCAATCCCCCTTCAAGCAGAATAAATAGGACAACATACCAAAATCCGGAAACTTGAAGGCTTCCTGGATAGGGAAAACGGGAATGTTGTTCCCGACAATATCCCAATTTCCCTCATCCGTATAAAGCTTCACCGCGAAACCCCGAACATCACGAACCGTATCCGCACTTCCCTTACTCCCCTGTACAGTGGAAAAGCGCACAAAAACAGGCGTGTTCCTCGACGTATCCGTCAAGACCTTGGCATACGTGAGATCTTCAATACTCTCCTTGAGCTTGAAGTTACCAAACGCGCCTGTGCCACGTGCATGCACGACACGCTCGGGAATGCGCTCGTGGTCGAAGCGGTGGATCTATTTAATTAGCCTCTGCTTGCATATCACATATTACAAGGCTGCATACCCGCTCTCTAGCAATCTGATCCTCCAACAACGACGGCCCAGTCCGCTTCCCATCATCTACGATCTTGAGCCAGTTATCGGCATTCTCCATTTTCGTGCCATGATCGGTGGTGATGGGGAGCTTCGTGTGAATGTTTGCAGTGTCTTGCTGCAGATCAACCATCTTCTTATTCTTTGATGCAGTGTTCTGCACCGCTTCTTGGGCCTTGTGTAGGCCGCCGGCGATAATGGATGCCATTGTCAATTGAGTGGTATACGAGGTGAGAAATCTGATGATGGAGAGAAGAGGGATTTGAATTGGCTTGGTGATATTATATCTAGGACACATGCTATTGACATTCTACTCCGGATTACAGGGCACGTTGTGATGACGCGGGGAGCGTCACTGTGACATTTGTTAGTCTTGGGTGATCGGTATGCTCGATTAACTCTTGCAAATCGGCGGTTTTCTATTATCGAGATGTTCTGCCAATGATACTAGCAGGATTTGTGAAGGCAGGTCGATTCCGGTCTGCCATTCACATGAGCCAATTCGATTTGAAACCAAGTCCCGGCGGAGCGTTCCAGGATTTGACTATGTAGTTGGTTTCCTTTTCCGTCTTCGTATACTTACGCTGAACGGCCATTGAGGTATTGTACATTTGAAATCAAGATTTCGATTATTGCTCATGGTGATATCACCGTATGGTACATGTTAGCTTCCGAGTAATAGGTCAATTCCTCGTGTCTTTCTGTCTCAGGGCGGGGTTTTTCTTAAAAACTGCTAATGCCTAATCATTTTACGCACCCATGCCGTAGTGGAAATATTCAATCTGGGCTCCCGTATACTTGTTTCGATATGGCATTATGGCATGGTGACAAAATAAACTGCCAAAATTAACTTCTGTTACGAGTATCATTGGCTCATTCGGTAAAGGTATCCACATTCCCGATATAGAAGGCATGCCAATTGCGGAGTATTACTCCGTGCATAATTAGGGTTGATTCGTTATTATTCAATTGCAAAAGACCAGTGAGAGAGTAGAGATTTGTCATTCATAATTACAATGTCATACATCCTTCAAAACATCAATGGCACATTACCCCCACAAACCCACCCCCAACCCCAAAGTAACCTCACTTAGTACTAGGATTCGGCATCGTCGCCGTATCCGGCCACTGCCGAAACATATCCGCCAAATGATCAATCGGCGCCGTCATAAGCCCCACCGCCGTCTCATACGGCGGCTTACTCGGCGCACTCGGATGGCTCCTTGACGGCACAAACATCTTCGTCCGTCCGAACGTCTTGCTCAGACTTCGGCTGTCTTCGTCGGACAGCGCGGCTTCGAGTTGGGGCAGGTCGGAGGTTTCTTCTTCGTGGATGTGTTGGGAGAGGTCTATCATTAGGGATTGGATTGTGGGGAGGAAGGTTGGGTCGGTGGGTTTGAGGTTTTGGAATTTTTTGAGTTGTTCTTTTACCTATTGTCCAGCAACTGTAGTTAGAGTGTGTTTTTCTTTGGCAGGGTGTAGAGTGGTGGACTTACGCTTTGATGTTCCTTCCGATCCTTATCCGCAAGAGCAACACCATCTTTGATATGTTTCTCAAACGCCGGATAAACAACCAACTCCTCGCCAATAGAATGTCTGGCAAGTTCCCATGTAAACAAATTCTGGTACTGGGTCTGCTCATTCTTATCGTTTGACTTTGTGATACGGTCGTAGTACGACTCGATCTCGCGGTGGTCTTGTTTAATGGCGTTGATGATGCGCGGGGTGCCCATGATGGGGGATTGGGTTACTGTGCGCTTGAATGAGGCTGAAACTGGGGGAAAGAATTGCTTGGTTAGGACTCGGATGGTCATCATGGCGATTTTGGTATGGATGGCTTGGAAGGGCAGGGTTGGGCTATATAGGAATAGGGCCTATGGGATGTATAAGGTTTGTAGATTCAGGGACGTCACAATGAGAGCGGATGGATTGAAACGGGGTAGTTCCTATTGGATAATAGGTTGTATTATCCGTTCGAATAACAGGGAAATGCTTGGAGAATACAATGTATACAATGGGCTTGGATATAAAAACATCATGGTGAATTCAATTGTGATGACACTCGTGCTTCATCCCGGAGTGTGGTACGGAAGAGCAATTGTGATCTATTTTGCGGTAGAATACGAGTGGTTAACTAGCTAAAACAGCTAATCCAAGCGTATAACTAATTCAAAGTACAAAACATACTCACAGAATCAGAAATCTCACCCTGGCTCTGTCCATCATACAAACCCTTCAACTCAGCCGCCATCTCCCTCCCAAAGATAAACTCCAACTCGACATTATCTAACCTCCTCAGTTCCTCTTCCGAGTCTACAGTCCCCGGCTTCTCAAAATTAAGCACTGTAATATCCTTCGACTCCTTGTCATACAGGATTTTCTGTGTCCCAGTATCAGGAAGATACAGGGATATTGAGCGTAGCACGGAGATGGCCTTTCTGCACTATTTGTAGATATGGGGTTGGTCCTCTATGGGTAAGGTGGGCTTTTCTTCTGCGAATGGTTCCGATGGTGGGTTCAGATAACAATATAGTGGTTCTCCGTTTACCTTAGAGAGGATGGCGATGTATCCTGGTGGGAACTTCGAAGAGCAGATAGTTCTACCATATGCTAGCATCGATGGAAAGAATTCATATCCCTCTGGGCTCTGGCTTCAAATCATGGAGTTTTTCGTACACCCCCACTTCAGATGCATAATTGTACGCAGTAGTTAGTCTTTTGTTTCCATATATCTGATAAAGGGGACAGGAACAACAAACCAGCCATGAAGCCCCCTTGTCCAGCATTTAGCAATAACCAGAACACCGTTTCACAGAACCTCATAGACTGCTTTCTCAGCATTGTCACCCAGTGACAATTGTTTGATGAACCCCACGCAGGTCACTGATGAGCGAGCGATTCCGTCTTCCCCGAAGAATATCGTCTGATCGCTGATACAATTTACTGATTCTGGTTCAGGCGCCGCCGGGCGTAGCCGACAGTCATGCAAGCTTTGTACGTAGAGAGATTTACATAGCTGCTCTAGTCGTTAGTCTTTTCTATAACTATGTCTCTTGTCTGCTATGGGAGGCAACTTACGGGATCTGGATCGGATTCGTTTGTTATGTCGTATTTCAAAGCAATCACAATAGGAGGCGTTGATATTGAGTTATCCGTTTCGGTTTCCATCTTGTGTTATGTGGTTTATTTGACCAAGCTAGTAAGTCGATGACTTGTTGTTTGGGGTTTGGAAGATATTGGATAGGCAGCAGGTGGCCTAGTCATAATCATTGGATCGACTTGTGCTGTTGCCTTGTGGATTGGATTTCACATTTTAGTACCATAACAAAATTCGACTTATAATAATCCATTGAAATACAGAGAAAATGCATCGTCCGCGAATATACCTCAATATGGAAACTCATATCAGTTGCCCATTAAATATCTTGGGCTGTCCGTGGATAGGTATATCTTATCCAGCCCGTATTTGAAGATACCGAAGCAAGAAAGAGAAGATTTGGATAAGCGGCAGATGGTCAAGTTATTATCGGCTCATTGTTTGACTGCCTGGAGGTAGCAAAACAAAATGATACCTGCTCCGGAGTATAATAATCTGCGAAACAGTTGCATTCCACTCGCGCACCAAGACAGTACCGTCAAGCAATAAATAAGGAAAAATTGGCGCATAATACTGGAAGTCCTGAATGATCAAAAAAAAAAAAAAGAAAAAAAAAGAAAAAAAAAGAAAAAAGAAAACAAGAAAGACGTTATAACAGAAAAGTACGAAGTTGCGAAAAAAAAAAAGAGCAAAAAAGAATGCATCGTCCGTGAATCGAACACGGGCCTCGTCGATGGCAACGACGAATTCTACCACTAGACCAACGATGCTAGCTGTTGAAAAATTTGGCAATATTTTGCTTTATCACTTATAAAAAAATACCTCAAGCATAACTATTCCACCTCCCAGAAGCAGAACAAAGGAAGAAGAGCATTCATCAACATATATTACTGCAATGATATCCAAAACTAACTTACAAACAGAACCATGTGAGCTCATAAAAAAACTCCTAGTCTTTTCCAATCCGTCCAACCAGCTCCGGCTAAACCCCTTATACAATAATAGTTGACCAAATAAAACAAGCACGCCATATCAATATCACATAGTACAGTTGTTACAGAGTAGAAAACGTATATGAACAATGAATCATATCTAGGGATCTCGTTTCATCCCGCTCATGCCAAAGTCGTATGTCCCCATGGGCATACCTGCATTTCCGAACATGTCACCGCCGCCCCCGCCGGCGCCGGGGGGATGTTCCATGCCCGGTGCTGGGGCGATGGGTTCGAGATTGAATGGTAGGAACCATGCGCTGGGTTGATAGTACTCGCCTGCGCCTGAGGGAGCGGTCGGGTCGAGTTGACCGGTGAAAATGGCGGCATCCTGGTGGGGTGGGGGTTCCACGCCGTTCGTTGCGGATGGGGGTATTGGTTGGTTATCTGCTGGTGGCGGCGGCGGTGGTGCTTCGAAGGAGGCTGGGTCGAATCCGGAAAATGAGCCGTAGACGAATTGTCGATCGAGTTGGGGGAGTTGGTCGGATGGGATGTTGAAGTCGAGTGGGGAGGGTCCGAATGCTTGCGCGCGGCCGTGGTTGTACATGGCTGGTTGAGGGAATCCGGCTCCGGATGTCCCCAGCATCCCAGGTGAGCTTTCCATGTTCACATCGACCATTGATTGTGGTCTGGGTGGCTGTTCGGAGCTGGCGCTATCGAGACGACTACTCTTTCTTGAATGTGACCTGCGAGGAACCGCGGTCTGTGGTGTAGGAGACAGGCTGGCGAAGAAGTCTTCGACACTTTGCAAGTCTGACTTCTGACCCATAACTGCATCGTCGCCTGTCTCTTTCTGTTTCGCACCGGGGTCCTCCCAGTGCATTCGCGACACTCCGTGAGGATACTTGTCAAACCAATCACCGTATTGGAACATAGCGGTCAATTTGCCGCCGTCATGCATAGCAACCGTGCCCTTGATGGCAGCGTCTGCGAATTGCCGGTATCGATCCTTTGCACTTTCTACCATGTAGTGGAACATACCCCAGTACTTCTTCATCTTGTTCAAGTACCGGTAGGTATGCCGTAGGTTTTCCTTGGACCGAGCTTCCAGTTGCGCGTTCTTGGAGAATATTCCCCAGATATGCACCGTACTGGCAGAGTACGCACAGTATCCTGCAAATGGTACAGTGAGCGGATAAGCTGACGCGCGGTCGATCAGGACAGAGATATGATGCGCAGCCTCCACTGCTGCTCGTCCTGCGTTGCTCAGGAAAGCCTTAGGCATATCCCTCGGAGGCCGCCCACCCGGAGAAAGCGGAATAGCAAATTGATTCAAGAAGAGAACGTTCTGGTGGATGATGATATGAAGAAAGAGGAATTGGTTTGCAATCCGTTCTGCCGCATGTATTTGGAGGTTTTCGTAGGTGAATAGAAGATGGCTTGGGAAGCTTGCAGAGAACTCGTCAATTTGTCGCTTGAGGCGCGTGTACCCAGATTCTGGCGACCACAGAGGATGGGGATCCTTTCTCTTCCCTCCGAGGTTCAGGTAGTCCACAATGCGCCCCCAGATGACCACAGTCTTAATGATATAGGCTGAGACACTCATGTTTTCCTTAGCATTGGACAGCTGTCCTACGTCATCTGGGACTGGGTTGGGCACGTTTCCGTCCAGGTCCTCCGTCGGCCCTGGAATTTCCATGTGGAAATGTGACTCCTTGATGGGAAGTTGGATATGCAGGAACTTCTCGTTCCCTATTGGTGGACGTTGACTACCGGAGGAATTGTATCGATCCATCAGAAGGCAGGCCCACATGGTACGCCGTCGAATCTCCCTATCGGTGAAACTTAGCTGTGACCCGTTGCCATTGCTGTGTTGTAAAAGCGGATCGTAATCAAGTTCCCTGTGCAGCTGCAATGCGTATGCCATTCTCAAAGCTTGGCCTCCGAATGACCAACTTCGTCCACCATGGCAGGTTCCAAATTCGTGCAATCCCAGTAACAAGAACACGGTCAAGATGGTGATGTTCGGTTCGTCATGGCGACTCAGGGCGATCGCGGCGGCAGGGTTCGCCCAGTTCTCACCACGCAAGAATGGAGGTTCAGAGTTGAGTTGCGGATGCGTCGAGAATCGAGCAGAGACCGCACAGACAGCAAGACTCAGTGCCGGGGGAACAGACCCGGCTCGTAACCTGCGCATAAAACTAGGCTTGTGAAGCAAAAGATACGACTGCCCGTATACACAATCGAAAAACACTTCCGCAAGATGTTCTTGGATCTCCAACGACGGCAAAAACTCGGCCCCCTCGGTCAAAAGGCTGGATCCGCCATTGCCCGACTTGCTCATAGGAAATGTGTCCTGCGGCGCCCTGCGCTCCTCACGCGTCCAGTCATCCAACTCCGACGCAAAAGCTTCATCCGCAGACCGTTTCTTCTGACTCTTTGAGGTCGGTTGCCCGGGAGCCGGAGGCCTAACCACAGACCGCCCGATGGCAGTCATATCCCTCGTCTCTTCCTTGGGAATCGTCTTAATAACACGATCCTCCATCCTCTTCAACCGCTTATCCAACATAGCCATATAATCCGTCCGTGGCGCCGCCTTCCTCGTGGTAACCTTGTAGACGCAGGGAATGCGAGACCGCGAACAATGTTTGCACGCGGGCTTCTCGCCCGAGCAGCGAATTTTCTTGCGCCGACATGCGATACAAGCCAGCGGTAACCGCTTCCTCTCCTTCCCAGCCTTGGTCTTCATCTCGCTCCACAAGGGCTTATCGCCTTCTTCCTGGTTAATACTCTGTGCGGTGTTGCTGTTGCTACCTTGTGCGTCATCCCGGTGCTCGGGGGCTGATGTTGCGGTGTCGTTTACGGTCTGGACGCTGTCGGGGTCGCGCGAGCTCGCGGGGCTCTGGGAGTCGAAATCTTCGGCCTGGACAGCGATGTCGTCGTGCTGGCTGTATATAGATGGGGCGCCTGTGAAGCCCAAGGGCGATTCTTCGGATTCGGGTGGGATCATGACGGGTTCGGATACCCCAACGATAACACTGGGGGCATCGTTGGGAGGAGGAGTGTGCGTACTTGAAATGGGATCGAACCCCAAACCGGGAGCTATTCTAGCTCTGTAGATCGGGTTCAGAGTGGTCTGGGGAGAGAGCGACGGGTTGAGTCGGTCGGTTGTAATGGTGCGGGTGGATAATATGGGGAATCCGGAGGCAGCTCGGCGGCGCGGATTACTAATCCCGTGTTTCACGGCCGTCAGGTGTACATTTTAAGATATATTCTTCAGTAGTATCCTTCTTATATTTCGAATGCTTCTCACTGTGGAAGACAACAAAGAGACATACGTGTAGCATATATGACAACTCATGTCCTCGATAATACGTGGTACTTAGCATGATAGCGGTCTAAGTATCTTCCTCCTTTTCTATCACATCATGGAACCGACCCTCCAAGATGAAGTAAAGCCATCCAAGAATGCGATGCTGAAAGCCTGCGAGGCCGGCAACCTCCCAGCATTACGGTATTAATTTCAGCACTATAGCATAAAGCAAGGCAGCCAGCCTGCTTGGGAGGAGAGGGAGGATAGTCCTCCTAAAACCTGGGAAATGGTCGAAACCGCCATTATCAATAAACAAGCCCCGATAGTGGCATACATCCTCTCCGTATACTCTGTAGGTCCAATCGAATGCGAACCAGTCGTCCAAGCGATCATCGACCATCCATGTATGGAGATTATGAAACTGGCTCATCAGAACTCGCCTGGAATTGTCAATCTTGAGCTTGACACAATGCAAACATTCCTATGGAGTGCATGTTACATGCCTTCTGATCCAGAACACCTTGCGCTTATCCACTATCTTTTGGATAATGGTGCCTCGCCGAATGAGGGGCAATTCCATGAATGGTGCGCTCTCATGCCGGCGTTGTGGTGGGACCAGCCATTCGAGGTGATTGAGAAAATGGTCTATCGAGGTGTTGTGATCGCGTGTGTTCCTTTTCAGGGAGCAGTCAAGAAAGAACGTCTTGATGTTCTGCGACTGTTTCTTGAAAAGGGGAGGTTTCATAGCAATGTCTCGCATCAGGAGTTGCTTGAATCAGCAAGGGAGTCTGGAAATGAGGCGATAATCTCGGTGGTGGAAGCTGGAGTTGCGAGGCGGGAAAGGATAGCTAAATGGTATCGACGAGCAAGCTGGTGACGGTTCTGGAGGAGTTAAGAGCCGGGCGTTGACGAGAGTACAGATATATGGATGCTCATAGAAGTACATACAAGAACGTAGTTTGTTCTAACCGGAGTATTTACCAGGGAAATTGATCACTATGCAGAGGGTCCAAAGAGGACTGCTGGGCTGGAGAGGATGTGCGATTGGGAAGAGCAATCTGGGAGAGCAGCGGAAATCGAGGAAGACCAACAATCCTTCACTCTTTATCTGCTAATCTCATTTTTATGGATTCCGTCATAGCTCCTTTGAATCGCTCATAATTGAAGCTTTCCTCGAAGAGACCATTCCAAACCTCATATGTGAGATGGCAACATAGGCAAGACTCGGCACAAAGTCCCTGGCTTTAATATTTAAACAGCACGTGGCACCTGCCATACGAAAGAGCCATAGCTCCCTCGAGTTGAAGCTGGGCATTTCTGAGATCGGAAAGATAGCTTGAGGCGTTATGGTCAAGAATTGCCCAAATGATCGATATACTTCACGAATTCCCAAGTCTATTGGTTTGTCCTTCAGCGCCATGAAGGGCTGTGACACATCGCGGTAGTTGTGCTGGCTGGTTTTGCCAGCAGCTTGACAATGTTATTATCATCATCGTCCTCGTACCATGGCGAAGGCATCGTGGGCCCTTCCGTATTTGTTATCCCTTAATACAAGAGGCCTGGGTTTTCCATCTTTGGCTTTTTGCTCGTTCGCGATAGCCCGATTTCGGATGCGATTTCAGTATATTCACTGGATGCAATTAAAGATTGCTTGGCAGAGCATAGGAGACGACCATACCACCATCGCTGCGCCATTTCCAAAGTTCCCGCGACGTCTCGCTTCAATTACACACATATTACTCTCAATGAATATCGGGGGACCATAGAAAAGCGTGTAATCCGCTTTCCCCGTCAAAGTGCGTGAGCGACAATGGTGATTGACCACCTTAATCAAGCTCATTTCAAATTGAACGTTGAACTCTTCTCTGAGCCCGTTCTTCTTCTGCAACCCTGCCTTCTAGCATGTGCTGATAGGGGTGTGATTCCATCTGCATCTGGAGATTATTGCCGTGTTTTCCCAACGTGTTTCCGTATGCAACGTCTTTTACTGGAGAACGTTTTTTGACTGAGTCCCAGTTGGCGTTTAGTATGGGCCGACTAGCTCTCCCGTGGCAACTTAGGTCGACGTTTGGCTTCATAAGGAGCTCTAGAATGGTTTCGGTCATTCTCAGAGAATGAGGTTGGAATTGTCTGGGAGACTCGTTGGGAAATAAAGGATGGGATAAATTGTTTGATGAATGCTGGCAAGTAAACATGGGGAACAGTGAATTGGCAGACGGCCCACCACTCCAATATGCTTCACAAAATGATTATCGATAATAAAGTCATAGTGATAGATGTAGTAGAGCAGATCTGTTCGCATTTTCCCTCTTCCATACCACCTTGGAACTCAATGGTGCGCTATATCTGCCTGATCGCATACAACTATGAAGACTTCGACCGTTTACCCTTAATAGACGTATTATCTAACGAAGCCGCAATCTCCGATCCCATAACATAGATATTGTAACTCGGGAAGATAATCCACAGGCCGCTAATCGTTATCAGTAACTGCGGAAAGATGACATGGCAGAGGGGACATACTTAGGAATGATCCACAGAAAGATCAAGGTAAAAAGGTCATTGTGACCGATGTTCTCGAAACCGGAGAAAATCTCGTTCAACCCTACTCATGTCAGCAATATGCCATGTATAGTCAAGTAAGCAAGTATAACTCACAATACAAAACCGTCTTCCCCAGCGTCATAACAGACGCACTATACGCAATAAGCAGCGCAGTAGCCCCAACCCTTCCCGAAACAAGCCTCTCATCCGTCAAAACCCTCCAAACCCCCCTCTCCACCTTCTTCCCTTTCTCCCCCGCCCCCGCCGCCGAAACCCCATACCTCCAAACAACCCACAAATAATAACAATACCCGGCGGACTCAAACAAATTCACCACTGTCTGCGCAGCCGTAAACCCATTCCGCGCATTGAACGCCGGCCAGCCGTAGATATAGTCGATAGTCCCGTATAAAGCGTAGGGTGTCCACAGCGGGGAGTGCAGACTGTTGCCGGGCATGCTGTGCGGGCGGAGGAGCACGTACCCGGAGTCCCAGAGGACGAGCGGGATTGAGAAGATGAGCCAGAGGATTATGGCGGTCGAGGGGGTGTGGATGAATTTGTTGGTTGTGGTTGTGGGTGTGCGAGGAGGGGAGGGGGTTCGCGTGCGCGGGGGGGAGGGGAAGGAGCGCTTTTGTTGGCGCGTTGAGACCATTGTGTTGGGTCCTTGGGTGCTTAATTGAGTATATTTAGGATTATGATTTGGTTATCTGAGTAGTAAAGCTGAGGAATTGGCCTGGGGTTGTTTCAGGAGGAGCTCATGAGCTGATGGGGAGATGACGTTGTTTAGCGGGCATTCTGACTTGCGGCTCCGCATGTCCAGAACAATGGAAACACACCACATTGGTTGCCACCTCTTCAGTAGTGTTGTATGACATCTCAAGGAATGAAAGCACCAGAGGAGGTCAAGATAAGGAATCCCAGGATCTAGGGACAAACACCTGTTTGCCTCAGGAATATACTCAAACCGCAGAATTTCACGTGACTGATGAATGTCATTGCTCCACGTTGATTGGCCAACCAGTTGTAAATCCCAAGTACACGGCAAAGTAGAAATATATAGCAGGTCATGGCGACAATTTAACCAAGAAAATTCGTCATATCAAAATAAAGATTAATTCAGATTGATCAGATGGCTCCAGCAAAAGATCAAGTGCAGCGGCACTCCATAGATGATCCAGAATCCTGCACCCTGTGCAAAGAAAGCAGCAATGAGCATGACTCTCCGGACAATCACCAACCAAGCTCTGCATTCAAGCAGCTGGGACTTCTCGACAAGCTCCTAGCCCTCTGGATCTTCCTCGCCATGGCAATTGGAATTTTTCTAGGTAACTTCGTGCCCGATACCAGGGAGGCATTGGAACGGGGGAAGTTCGTTGGCGTTTCTATACCGATTGGTAGGTCTATTTACTGAGAAGTTGGAGTAATAAGGCGATGGGCTAACGTAAAAAGCCGTTGGTCTGCTGGTGATGATGTATCCTATCCTGTGCAAAGTGCGGTACGAGACGCTCCACCGGTCATTTCGGCAGAAAGCCCTCTGGATTCAGGTCGGGTTCAGTGTTGTGGTGAATTGGATCATTGCGCCGTTTTTCATGGTTTGTTTTTATCCATGGCTGATATTTGTTGTGTTGATGTGCTAAATTGATACAGCTTGCGTTGGCGTGGGCGTTCCTACCAGACGAAAGAGGTCTCAGGGAGGGTTTGATCTTGGTTGGCATTGCGCGGTGTATTGCGATGGTTAGTTCTCCATACAGATGCAAAGTTGAATTCATCTGCTGACACCACCAGGTACTCGTCTGGACAGGACTCGCCGGCGGCGATAACGAATACTGCGCCATCCTCGTTGCCATCAATTCGATCCTGCAGATGGTCTTATTTGCCCCCCTTGCAATATTTTTCGTGCGCGTCATCGGCGGCGCAGACAGCGGTTTCAACATCGACTACTCGCTGGTCGCCAAAAGCGTCGGCGTCTTCCTCGGCATACCCTTGGGCGCAGCCATCGTTACTCGCTTCACGCTGATATTCCTGGTCAATAAGGAATGGTACGAGAAGAAATTTGTCAAGTGGATCGGCCCATTGTCGTTGATCGGACTCTTGTTCACAATCATAGTCCTCTTTGCTTCTCAAGGACGACGAGTGGTGCATCAGATCGTGTCGGTCGTACGAGTGGCAGCGCCGCTTGTAGTCTACTTCGCTGTTATTTTCTTGATCACTCTGCTGGTGACGCGCCGGTGTGGCTTCGGATATCGACTGTCGTGCACGCAGAGTTTCACCGCTGCGAGCAACAACTTTGAACTGGCGATTGCGGTGGCCATTGCAACTTTCGGCGTGGATAGTGATCAAGCACTAGCTGCGACAGTTGGGCCTCTCGTTGAGGTCCCCGTGCTGCTAGGTTTGGTCTATGTCGTGAAATGGGCTGCAAAGCGGAATAAATGGGCGGCATAGATGAAAATCACCAAGATATAGTAATAGTTAATTGCTTCGGGTGGATGGTAGATATCAATCACCACTGATCTCATCCAAAACCTGAAAAAGAATATGATTCTGCACCCTGCATTCTTCCCCCGTAGCACAACTCTTCGTAAAGCCAACCCAGAGTTTCTTCTGTATCTCTGCCAGATCGACCCCGCGGGTATTATACTGGCTAATAAGCTCTTCCGCAATCGCACAAAGAGTGGTATTGAGGACGTCTTCGTTAGTAGGGAATAATGGATCATCCACCACACTTTCGCATATCCGGCTCCTCAGAGACACAGATGGACGAGCCATATCCGTCCCAATATCAGGATTCAACTCCGGTTCACTAATAGACACCGATCCTTCCGACTTCCCACAACAAACCGCACCGCCACTCGTTTCCTTTTCCGCAGAACACGTACTCCGACACGACGACTCCCCAGCCCCAGCCCTCTTCAAAGCCGGAATCGCAACTTTCCGAACCATCTCAGACTCCCCCGTTGTCCGCAAATACCCCTCAACAACACTACCCGGCACACCCACAGCAACCAGAAGAGATTTCAGCCGTCCGTTCTCAGCTTCTAGCCTTTGAACAGTTAATCGATGTTCGACATCTTTCTGATGCGCCTGTTCTTTGAACAAAGCAAGTTGCTGCTCCAGCTCGCGCGTATACTCTTGCTTCCTAGCACGGCTTTTGCGCTGGTTTTCGCGAATCCGGGCTAGTTTTTCTTTCTATGGGATGTTAGTTTTGTGGCGAAAATGAGTGGTTTTGGGGGCTTCTACCTTTTGATCACCGACGGGTTCCATACTGGTATCCTGGTCAGAAGGACTTTCTGTTTAATATAAGGAAAGTAATGAGATTTGTTAATTTGCGGTTCTTGTAAGTCTTGAACATTCCGGGATATTGAGTTATTGACCGGAGGAATGCTATGCCGGCGGATGTCGTCCTTGGACCAATCAGGAGCTTTATGATTCAACGGCTTAAAAAAAGGGTGCAGGATCTAATCGCTCCATTCATTATACAAAGATTATATACAGACAGCCTCATTTGCTGCGCGAACGAGGCATAAAAAAACAAACAACAGCCAGAATTCGCTGGTGGTCACCCATCCAGGTGTCACGGAGCTCAGCTGGGATAATGGAAGATCAACTCATGTGCTCTACCTAGGTAGCTATCGACGAGAATAATCAACATGAGGAAAGAAGAAGAAGAATGATGTGCCAGTAGTAGTTGTGTGTGTGTGTGTGTGTGTGTTTCTATTTTACGTCGAGGTTCGGGTCTTTCCACGCATCCTTGGATTAAAGACCTCGGACGCGGAAAAGCCCTGGTCCCGGTGCGGGACATACGACGGGCAGATCGGAACTGCCTATCGTCTAGCGAAAACTACCATCTATCATCTAAATACAGGTAGCCCCCCGCGCGGGGGGCTGCTTGGGTTTTCATAGCTCGGTATTTGCGAATGGTGGAACTGGGCATGTTGAAGTGCCGGGAATTAAATATTTGTTGGTAGCACTTGCTGATTCCACAATGTCAATATCCATGCAAGATGTGTATACCTACTTCCCATTAGCACGGAGCGATGTCATTGGGCATATATGAGTATACCAGCCAGCCATGGTCTACTATCTCTGTTGTATTCCACATCCAGTACACAGTATAAGGGCTGCCAACTTCTATGTGAGGTGGAATTGTAAATGAAGAGGTGGAAATGGTGTTGCCATCACTATAAGGAGAGTCGACTGCCAAAACTTGAGTTTGTTAACCATGGGCTGTTTCTGAATGGGATGATTGCCTTACGCTGTCCACCAATTCCTTGTTGAAAGTTCAGGACATCGGAGAATGTTCTGGAGTCTGGTGTCCACTGTTCCTGTGTTCCATACCAGCTAATAACCCCTTTCTCTGTATTGGTCTGCCTTGACGTTATAGGGCCATGTTTTAAACAACGTGGGTTGAGTATTGAACCGGGAGAAGCTCTTAATCGCGGCCGTCCTTTAGATTGAACTGGCAATTGCTGATAGCCATGGCAAAATTGACCGGGCAAAGTTACATCCAATAATGAAGTTCGGTGCAGGGTAGCGGATTCCAAGCCTGTTTGGAATATCAATTAGCTACTATGCATCAATGTCAGATTCTTGGCATACTATAATTGCGGACGTATCCATGGTCTTGAATTTCTCCGTCAAGATCTGCAATATCGATGCCTTCAATCTGTTGAAATTAATGACAAAACTAGACATGGTATGACTAAATGGATTGAGACTTACCATAAGTGCGGACGTAAGGCAAAAACAGAAGCTTATCACATATAAGACACAAGAGGAAAGGGCTCGCATGGCGGAAAGAGTAAATAATTTTGATTAACAAGAAGACTTTTCGGAGGAAAGTGTCTGACATATACCATTATAACTTTTTTTTCCTGGATTGTAGGCCCTTTTCAATTCGCTGGTCTTCGTTAAATATCCAGATCAAGCATAAGTAGTTCCCAACCCTGCCAAGTTATTTTTTCAAATTATCGAATCTAACTTGCTTCTAGGCTTTACGTTGATCTATGTATCCCCCACCAATAGTTATGGTCCGCATTGACAAACCGGGCTCGATATGGCATAAACATGTTCAAAAACTCTTATTGCATTCAAACTTTCCACGAAGCTACCGTTGCTGCATTGTTGATCAAGACTTAATGAGCCTAATCCCAATTCATGAAGTGGGAGCAGTTGAGGATTGCTTTCTCTCCGAAGACTACCGCAGCCTTTATATTTTCCTACGGTTGAATGGCTTTCTACGCCCAAATCTGGACGCTGATGTCCTTACTTTCGAGCATATTCATGTACCTCCAAGTACAATAGCTATATTCAGATAAAGGGAGGGATATCGACAATGAGATATCCTGGAAATGTTGCTGCACGAAATCATTATACTCTGTAGTTGTTTTCGAAATCAATTATACCTCCACACACTTACAACTAAATTCTCGGAAAGGAGATCCGAAATGCGCTAACTAATCCGTTTTAGTACATCGCTCCACAAGTTGGCAAAAATATCATCGTAAGTTAGTTGACTAGTTATTTTATTCGCTGAATCGTCGAGTTATGCATCCTAATTGGGAGAATTATGTACGAAATGGGAGGAAGCGGGCGGGCTGCGGGTGGAGCGTCGGTGGAGATGGGGAGCTGATCCATTTTGACCGTTGTATGAGGACACATTGGAGCAGAATTCAGTACGAGAAATTATATCCTGGCACCCAGACAGCCCCCGGAATTGTACTTGTGCCTTATTGGGCCTGTTTGTGCCAGGTGGTGAAGGAGGTCTTCAGCAAGATGCCCCGCCCTCGTGACCTGGAATGCAAGCCCCGACCCTTCTGTTTGTGTTCCAAGGTTGGTCCCAACTCAACTTTGGCTCGCACCCCCTCACCTCCAGCTCAGGTTCATTTTCTCTGATGGGCATTGAGATCACCTAGGTTAGCTCCTCTATACTCTTTACTCATCTCTGGTCACCTGAAGACCTGCATCTCAACTTCGCTCTTGTACCATCACAATCACCACTCCAACAACACCATCTCATGGAGAATATTGACATTTTATCAACTTCCTCAGACGAACCTGGGATGACGCCCACGCATACCAGCCTACCTGAATCATACGCTGACCCTGAACTACCGCCGTATCCTGCACCTGCCGCAGTCGCTCCTTACAAGGGAGCGACCTTCATCATTCGCGATCCTCAGAGCGGCCTCGCTATCACACTCAAGGATGGCAAGTTAGGCTTGGCCCCTGGGGATAAGGAGAATGCATTCGTCAATTGTGATAATGGGCGTGGCAGTCACTGGCGCTGCGTCGAAAACAAGGACCGCTGGTTGGGCTTCAAAAATGCAGTCTCCGGAGAGTTTATTGGGCACGATAACAAGAAGAAGAACTGGCGCTTTATGGCAAAGGCTGAGGCCCACAGGGAATGGGAGTTTTTTTGTGTCCGTCAGCATTCAGATGGCGGCCATGAGCTGCTTGTGAAGCATTGGGGTGGCTTTCGTGCAATGCAAGTGGGCGGCAACGACAACAAGGAGCTGGTGGTTGCTGATGAAGGAGACAGCGGAACGGCGTGGGAGTTTCTTCAGGTTTACTGTGAGATATTTGACTTTGTCTGACGCGTTGTGAGAGACTCTTAGGAATTGAATATTGTTGCTACCAGATTGATTTTAGTTGGTTTCCTGGTATACCGGAGTCCCCTTGGGACCTCAATCAGCCGCAAGGACAATTTGCTTTGAAGCACAGGAATGACCAACTCATAAATATAATACTGGTAGGGTGAAAAGACGAACTTTACTGCTCCACAGAGCCAGGCCCTTCTGAAGCAAGCACAGTGTCTCCATGCCCCATGCTTTGGCTTCTGCTCGTGTTGTCTGCGGGTTGGTATTGCTGCCCTCGGAGTTCCTCGTCCAGCGACCGGAGCATTTCAGCTCGGTAGGTGAAATATTCGCACATTCTCTGGAATCCTTCCTTATCGGCATTCGCACGCGTATGGTTCATGGCGGAACGTAGAATTCGTTGCAGGTGAGGGTACTGGTGTTCCTAGGGCCCTGTCAGCTAGAAATTAATTTGACTTGGGGCTCAAAAGTCTTTACTAAAAGCTCATCAGGAGGTGGCCATTGTCTTAGTAGTAGTGTGTGTGTGTGTGTGTGTGTGTGTGTGTATGTGTGTGTGTGTGTGTTGAGCTGAGAATCTCAGTCACTGACTTGTGGCCCCATGGATGTGCTGCTGCTTTTCGGCCCTCTCTGCAGTGATAGAAGTGGGATGGCTCCTTTCTGCGGCCGCATGAGCATGTCAGCAGAGTGTCCTCATGTTTAAAGCGCTCATGGTATTCTGCAAAGTCTCCGTGGCCGCTCCTGGCAGCTAGGAGACGGCCCAGGGCTGCTCTTGGGAGGAGCAGCTCCGGGGGACGTTTTTCTAGGCCTATTCCGAGGTCCTTATAGCGTTTGGGGGCTTTATCTGACCAGTAGCGGGTGAAACCTTGCCAGTGTGTCCTCTTGGCTGCCCGTTTGGCAGCAGCGATTGAGGCAGGTGTTGAGGGGAGCTCTAGGGGAGCCTGACAACCAATCTTGGCCTCTTTATCAGCTGCTTCATTGCCTTCAATGCCTATGTGTCCAGGAACCCATTTCACCTGTACTGTGCCTGCCTGTATGCCAGGTGTCACGGGCTCGGAATAGAAGATAATAACGAACTGAATTCCTATCTTGACTATTGTAGCCATCAACGAGAATATCGAATCTGGGAAGGAAAAAGGAGAGGAAATCTATCTGGCGAGTACAGTCTCTATATAAGCATTTGTGCAATGCGGCTTGAGCCCTTGTTTGTCCATATTGCTTGTATGGCATCTTTTGGCATGTTGGCACTGTTTGCCTGGTCGTTGAGCCGTCACACCAGGTGTTCTTGAGAGTTGTGGCCATGTCTATGCAGCTTCTTGAAAGTTCATGAAAATTGGTTGACTTGATCCTTTGGGCTGGCCTTGGAGTTGCTGTGCTGCTTCCAAGTTGTCCAGATAGATATATATGTTTGTGGAATGTTGGGCTTTGGGATCCTTAAGGGCCGCCTGTAGGCCTAGCAGGGCCGCTTGAGCCTCTGCATCAAAGACCTCATGGTTGGGGAGCCTCACATGTCCGCTGAAGATTTTGGCCTTGCTGGTTCTGCAGTAGCCCACCCAGCCGGCACCTGCAGCGCTGCTGTCCTTTCCTTTGGACCCATCTGTGTAGACTACCATTGATAGTGGTGGAATGCAGGCCAGCCACCTTTGAAAGGCATCCCTGGCCTGTATCTTTGTGGTTGTGGTTGACTGCTCTTTGGGCTCTGGGTTTGAGTCCCAGCCTCCCAGGGGCTTGACAGAAGTGGTGTTACAGACCTTATCCTGTCAGCCTCACGTGACGATGCGGGGAGTTAAGGCAGAATCATTGGGTATGCTCAGCGGGATGATCAGTGAGTTAAGCAGGGATTATGACCTGAGCATTAAGGAAGTACGACATACCTCACGTGACCTGCAGGAGGTATACA